TGAGCCCCACAACCCCTGGCCCAGAGAGCAAATTCGGGAGCAATGCACAGCACTCGGAGACAGCAGTTTGACCAATGAGGCAGAGCTGTCCAGAGGTGACCTCTCCCCTGAATGACTTGCTGTCTGGGAGGAAGGCCGTACACACATCGCACCTTGTTTAATCTCACAATTATCTCGAGCGGCAGAACAAGCTTTAGAATCTGCCCTGAAGACACAGTTCTAACAATATGCAAGTGCTCACACAGAAGGTCATTATTGTTGTTTGTAAATGAAAAACATTAGCACCCCGAATGTCTGTCCATAGGAGACGGACTGATAGATTAGGCCGCACCAGAGCATGGCACTGCACAGCTGTGAGAAAGAACAGGGACAACTTCTGTGAATGGAATGGAGTGATTTCCAGGTCCTATTGTTGAGTGAGGAGAAAAGTACAAAACAGCTTAGGGTCATATGGTACCTTTTGTGTAATAAAGAAGGGGGATAAAATACACACGTATTTGTTCGTTTTTTTCAAAACACACACAGGAAAGATAAACCAGGAACCAATGAGATTGGTTACTTAGGGGAGGGGCAGATGGGACTGAAACTGAAAAAAAGGGAATGACACCCTCTGAGTGTCCCTCTTTGTATAGTTTTTGAACTCAGTGAATGTTTCCTATAGTCAACAAAGAAATTAGATCAAACAAGGATGGAGAAAAAGAACTTTAAGATGGGAAAGAAATAGAAATCAATGTAATTGCATTTCACATGAAAAACATAATCACACAGAAATAGAAAAGAACCAGCCCATACAACCTTTGGACACAGTACTAACTCTAAAGACAAAAGGAACTGCAAAGAGATTTTGACCTTTGTTTAGGAGATTTGTTTTCGAGAGTAGAAAGAGAGTAGTGATTCTGAAACTACCATCATGTGCCTTATGGGACTAAGCACAGTAGCAAGGGCATTGACATTAGAAGCCAGGTCTTTCCTGAGGGATGACGTGTAAATATGGAATGGGAGAACGCAGAGGAACCCCACAGGAATAGACCAGGGTTGAAAGGGGCAGGGCAGACTCAGGATTTATATAAAAATCTGTTTCCTCACTCTGTCCACTGAAACTCCTCAACAGCAATGAAAGCATTAAACACCCAGATCCTGGCTTCTCAGTATCACCCCCTTCAAAAAAAAAAAAAAAAAAAAAAAAAAGAGGCTCTGGCTAGTGTGCTCAGGGGATTGAGTGCCGACCTGCAAACCGGGGGTCGCCTGTTTGATTCCCAGTCAGGGTACATGTCTGGGTTGCAGGCCAGGTCCCCAGTGGGGGGCACATGAGAGGTGACCACATATTGATGTTTCTCTCTCCCTCCCTTCCCCTCTCTCTAAAAATAAATCAATAAATCTTTAAAAAAAAAAAAAGAAAAAGGACTTAGGCAGGAAGTATGCAAAATGAGCCTGGAATATGTTGGTGGGTCAGAAAGCAAGAAAGTGCTCCGAGAAGGATGGGGACCTGTCACAGAGACACAGGAGCCAGACTGAGGGGCTGCTGGCCAAACCTGGAGCTATGTGAGCACTAGCAATGAATGACCTGAAAATCAGAGCAACAGGAAGTAGATGGTCGGGGCCAGGGCCTGGAGGGAGGGCCACAGGCAGCTAGTGTTTAATGGGTACAGTTTCAGTTTTACAGGATGAAAAGTTCTGGAGACAGATAGTGGTGATCGTTGCACAACAATGTGAATGTGGTTAATGCCACTGAATGATACACCTAAAATGGTTAAAATGGTCAGTTTTATATTATGTGTATTTTACGACAATATAGAAAATGGGAGCCCTTGCTGATGTGGCTCAGTGGATTGAGCGCCGGCCTGCAAACCAAATGGTCTCTGGTTTGATTCCCAGTCAGGGCACAGGCCTGGGTTGCAGCCCAGGTCCCCAGCAGGGGGCGAGCGAGAGGCAACCACACATTGATGTTTCCCTGCCTTTCTCCTTTCCTTCCCTCCTCTCTAAAAATAAATAAACTCTTTTTTAAAAATGGGGGAAAAAATCTTTCCATATGATCCAGCAATTCTATTCTTAGGCATCTCCGCAATACCTGAAAAATCACCTTTTGTAATCATCATAGCATTAATTGATCCAGGCAAGAATCATTGCTAAAATTATTGTGCGAGAGTTTTGTTGGGGGAGCAGGATATTTGCATAATATCGAAGTATCTTTCTACAGAGTACATATTAATTACAAAGAGAAAAATATCCTACTTGAGAAACCTGGTGAATGTCATCTTAACCAAGAGATCCAAGTTAAAACGTCACTGGAAATGCAATAAATAAACATGGCTGGCCTCCTGACGCGACACACTGGGGAGGACACAACACTTCTATGATATTCCTGTGAAAGCATGCAAACTGCGTTGGATCATGAGGAGCCATCACATGAACACACACTGAGGACACGCCACGGAATAGCTGGCCTATACTCTTTGAAAGAGTCAAGATCATGAAGGTCATGAAAGACAGAAAAGCGTATGCCCGTCTTGGATAAAAGGAGACCCAAGACACATGCAACTAAATGCAATGAGTGGTCCCCGACTAGATACTAGAGTGGGGGGAGAGTTGCTGTAAAAGACAATAGTGAGGAAATTTTCATATGAGCTGTGTATTAGATAATATCATTGTATATATACTAGATTTCCTGAATTTGACTCTCATCCTCTGCTTATACAGCAGAAGATTTTTTTCATGAGAAATACATGGTGTTCTGGAGTAAAGGTGCACAATATCTTCAACTTACTCTCAAATTATTTAGAAAATTAAGAAAAAGAATGTGTATATTCTCTATAGAATACCTAACACACTCTTAGATTATGTTTATAGAGAAGTATAAAGCAAAAGTTAACCATGGGCAGATCTAGTTCAGGGATCAGCAAATCTTTTTCTGCAGAGGGCCAAAGAGCAAACAATTTCATCTTGAGAGCCAGGCAGTGTCTGTAGAAACTCTGCTCCCCACGGGAAAAACTGCCAGACAACATATAAAGGAATGGGTGTGGTTGTGTGCCAATAAAACTTTATTTACAAAAACAGGCATTGAACAGATGGTTTACTAAACCCTGACTTAGATGAAGAGTTGATGGGAGTCCATTGCAATAGTTTTGCAACTTCTGTAGGTTTGAATTATTTTCAAAATAAAAAAAATGAATGAAGAAAATATGGATTTCCTAACTTTGTGGCCAAGAGATGGTCTCTAAATATCTTCCATTAAAAAGAATCAGGGTTCCTTGGAGGAATGGCTGCATACAGAGCTGGTGCTGGGAAAGTATAGGACAAGCCAAAAAGCATCTCTCTTTGCCAGGGCTATGAACTCTTAAGACCACCGGGGTCATGTCAAGGGGGCTGAGGAACCCACTCAAAGAGGTTCCACTGGCCACAAGCCACCGGATGCCTGAGCCATCAGAAGCTGAGAGAGGCAGGAAGGATCTTGCCCTAGAGCCCTCAGAGGGAGTGTGACCCTGCTGGTGCCTTGATCTTGAACTCTGGCCTCCAGAATTGGGAGAACATGTTTCTGTTGTTTTAAGCCACCCAGTCTGCAGTACTTTGTTACAGCAACCCCAGGAAAACTATCGGCACTCCTTGAAACTGCCGAGGTCATCAAAAACAGGGCAAAGTCAGAGAAACCATTGCAGCCAAGAGGAGCTTAAGGAGACGTGCCAGCTAAATGTCATGTGGGGTCCTGGATGGGATTCTGGGACCAAAAAAAAAAAAAAAAAAAGACATTAGGGAAAAACCAAGGAAATCCAAACAGAGAATAAATGTTAGCTAATGTGTCAATATTGGTTCACTAATTGTAAAAAAAAAAAAAAAAAAAAAGTACCATATTAATATAAGATGTTAATAGTAGGGGAAGGCAGAGACAAATGTATTTTAAAAAAAATAAAAGAGAGCTGGAGAAGTGAAAAAAAATAGCAGGGGAAATTGAGTATTTTTTATAAGGCAATTCTCTGTACTACTCTCACAATTTTTCTGTAAATTAAACTATTTTAAACATAAGGATTTTTTTAATTAAAAAAAAACCAACTTGTTGAATGAATAGAATCTTGGCTCTGTGACCTCCCAGGTGTGTGACCTTAGTCAAATTGTTCCGTTTCTCAATGGCTGTTTCCTCATCTGTAAAATGGGAGTGATAGAGCCCTGGCGGAGTAGCTCAGCTAGTTAGCGTGTCCTCTGGATACACCAAAGTTGCAGGTTTCATCCCTAGTCAGGGCACATACAAGAATCAACCAATCATGCACCAATAAGTGGAAAAACAAATCAATATGTGTGTGCGTGTGTCTCCTCCCTTCCTCTATTTCTCTAAAATCAATAATTTAAAAAAAAAATTAAAAATGGGGCCCTGGCTGGTGTGGCTCTGTGGATTGAGTGCTGGCCCGTGACCCAAAGGGTCGTCATTTCAGTTCCCAGTCAGGGCACACACCTGGGTTGTGGGCCAGGTCTCCAGTTGGGGGTGCAAGAGGCAACCACACACTGATGTTTCTCTCTCTCTTTCTATCTCCCTTCTTCTCTCTCTAAAAATAAATAATAAAATCTTTTCTAAAAAATGGGAGCAATAGCGCTCGTACTACACGGAGCATCCCTGAGGGTGGTGGGACACCGCAATCTGGCGTAAGTGGAGCCATTACTTTTATCTTCATCACACATGGGTGGGAGCTGCTGCTGGAATTTTGGTGGATAGCTACATGGGGTGGGTTTAAATGTGTCCCCCTCCCAGGAGAGAGGTTGGACTCCACCTCCTGGCTCAAAGTGCGTGCCTTCCCTGAGGGCTCTGGGTAAATCGCCAAGCACAGATGTGTGAACAACTAGAACTTTTTTCCTTCCTTCTCCATGTTTCTACCCCGCCTGGTCTAGGAGACCTGAGAAGGGACTGCAGGTGGATAAACAGGACACCCCTAAGAAATCACAGGTCTCCAGAATGTCATTTCTTTAATGTTCATCCTGCAAGGGGCCCTGCAGGTGAGGGAATAAATACAGTAGGTTTTAAGATGCAGCGCGCCCGGCCCCCAGCCTCAGAGGGAGGGGGATACCTGTGGGCCTCAGTTTCCCTCGTCTGTAATCCAGAACAGGGCACACTTTGAGCCAAGAGACTCTTACAGAGACACTCCCGCAAAGGAAGGTGTCTAAGCTACCCAGACCTCAGGCTGGGAGACTCCACCTCCTGTCCGCTAGGGGGCGCCAGAGTCCGGTTCCTGGGCCTGAAGGTCCACAGCCCCATCCCTGGGGATGTGCATCACCCCCCGGGGGGTTCCTGCCCAGGAGGGGACACACCCAGAGGCGGGAGTCCTAAGAGAGCCCACTCACCCAAGTCCTCCATCCCCTACTCGCTTCACCTTTTCCTCCACCCTGGCATCCCAAATGGTCATTGTGCTCCCTTTCCGAGGAGGTAAACTGAGTCTAAAGGGAAGCCCAGGGGCTGTCCTGGAGAGAGGCGGGGGGTGGGGGGCGGCGACTGGCCTTCCAACCCCAACTCATTCGTGGCCCTCCCGCCACCTGGGCCTGGGCCTGGAGCAACAAGTCGGGTGTCTGGGCTCTCTGAGCTCTGGCCCCGCCCGCAGGTCTTGCCTGCCACACTTTCGTCCGACCAGGGGGAGGCGGGGCCTGGGTCACAGCAGGTTGATCTCGTCGAGGTAGCGGGCCAAGACCGAGTCCCGCACATCCTTAAAGACTTTGCGGATGTTCTGAGTGTCAGTGGCGCACGTGTAGTGGCTGAAGAGGCGCCGGGAGCGCGGGCCCTTTCTGCTCCCATCAGCGCCATTCACGCAACCGGAGTACATGTGGGTGTACATGTCCAGGATGAACCTCTTGGCTGCCTCCGCGTCCTGCTTCGGGCCTAGGGGGCAGAGGTGAGGGCGGTCAGGGCACAAGGCTTCTGAGGCAGGCTGGGACCCTACCTCTTGGGACCTCTTCTCAATATGGGCAACTTAGGGCACAGGGAACCCACTGACCACCCACCCATTACAGTCCCAGCAGGTGTTTGCCATCTAGCAGGCCATGTGACTTCTGCTCAGCCATTGGGAGCATCAGGCTCTGTGGGTCACATGACTTGGGATGTATCAATGAGCCTGAGTTCTGGGACTCTCTGGTCAGAATTTGTGTTGAAGAGAGATCCTCTTTTTGCTGGGTTCAAAGCTGCAGAGACAGAGGCTGGTGCAGACAGGAAACTGAGGCCAAGAGAAGGGGAGGGATGGCAGCACTGGTGAACACATGAGCCACTGTGTTGAAAGCACAACGTGAGTTAAGAGCCCAACGCCTGACTCTGCTACTTACTAGTTTATTTACATATTAACCCATGTAACCTCTGTGAGCCTCAGTTTCCTCATTTGTAAAATCGGGATCAGAATAGTCCCAGGCCTCCCAGAGTTGTGTGGATTCAAAGCAATCATGTCCAGGGCTCTGTGCTCAATGCTCAGAAGGCTTCATGAGTGTGTGTTATCATCATTCTTTCAGAAAGGCAGGTTAGCGTAATGGGTAAGACCTGGCATTTCTCAGAGGCAGAGTGGGCTAGAGACATCTGAGGAGAGACTGGGGAAGGCTTTGGGGAGAGAACTGAGAGAGTAGCCGGCAGGATCCTGGTGCTGATTCATCCCCCAGATGGCAGCAGCCATCTGGCTCAGGCAGACCACTCCCCTGAGTGGCAATAGCGTGAGAGGACACAATAGCCCCACCCTCAGGAGGGATTCTGCCCCGCCCTGTGGTGTCTAAGCTTGACTGCTGAGTGCAGAGTGACTAGATTAACAACTGAAAGGAGACAGCCACAGACAGCAGGTTCCTGGAAGACTTGAAAAGACTGCCTAAGGTCAGACAGGGTCAACAGCTGACATCATCAGAGGCAGATCCAAAAAGAAAAAACAGCAGCCTCCTACCATAGATGTTCACACCACAAAGTCAGGAAATCAAAACAAATCAATTTAAGAAGGGGAAGCAAAAAAAAAGAGTCTCACAAATAATGGGAAGACAAAGAAACGCCCCCTAATCAAAGGGAAAGGAGGAACCCCCAGAAAGAGAATGAAATGATACAGTAAACTATCAGATACTGAGTTCAAAACAATGGTTCTAAGGAAGCTCAATGAGTTCAGTGAGCTCAGAAAGAAGTATAAAAAACTACAGGGAAACTACAAGGAACTTACTACAAACTATATCAGCATGAAAAAGGACATATAAACTATCAACGAGAGACAAGAGAAAATGAAGAATACAATCTCTGAATTCAAGAACACAGTGAAAGGAATCAAAAACAGGCTAGATGAGGCCAATGATCGAATCAGTGAGCTGGAGGACAAGGTAGAAAAAAACTCCCAGAAAGAGCAAGAAAATGAAAAAAGACTCAAAAAGAATGAAGAGCCATTTAGGGAAATGCAGGGCAACCTGAAACATTATAATATCTGTATAATAGGGATACCAAAAGAAGAAGAGGAGGAGCAAGGGATAGAGAACTTGTTCGAAAAAGTAATTACGGAAAACTTCCCTAATTGGAGGAGATAAGAAGTCACACAAGTCCAGGAAACACAGAGGGTCCCACTCAAGAGGAATCCAATGAGGCCCACTCCAAAGACGTATCATAATTAAAATGGCAAATATCAAAGACAAACAGAGAATCCTAAAGGCAGCAAGGGAGAAACAGGTAGTAACATACATGGGAGCCCCGATAAGGCTAGCAGCTGACTTCTTAACAGAAACACTACAAGCCAGAAGGGAATGGCAAGAAATCCTCCAAGTAATGAAAAGCAAAGGCCTGCAACCAAGACTGCTCTACCCAGCAAGGTTCTCGATTAAAATGGAAGGCAAAATAAAGTTTCCCCAGACAAAAGAAGGCTAAAAAAATACACCTCCACCAAACCAACATTGCAAGATGTGCTAAAGGGACTGCTTTAAGAAGATGAAGAAAAAGAGTCTATGAATACATAGTTCCTTTCATAGTCACCAGTATTTGATATTACCAATATTCGTAATACTTACTAATCTGATTGTGACAAATGATGTGTTATTTGAAGTGTTACTTTATTATTTGTTGAAACTAAACCTGTTTTTGTATATTTCTTGCCTATTTCTGTTATTTTTAAAAAGCTTTAAATGACTTTTTGGTATCCTTTATCTATTTTTCAATAAAATGTTTGTAGAATTTTTCTCCCTAAAAAAACCTATTAACCCTTTTTTAGATGTGCTGCAAATACTTTCCTATTCTATTACTTGTCCTTTAACTTTTTTTATATGTATGTTACTGTATAGTCTTAAATGTATAATATAGTCACATTGTCAATATTTTACTTTATAGCTTCTGGACTTGAATATTTTACTTCAGGGTAAGAACAATATTATTTTGTAATTTATCCTAAAACTCCTTAGATTTTACATATTGATTTTTAACTCACCTGAATATTTTTTGTATAATGTATGAAATAGGGCTCTATATTTGTTTTATTTCAAGTAATAGTGGTCCATGCACCTTATCTGTTGAAAAAATCTTATTTTCCCCATTGATTTGAAATATCAATTTAATCATATATTACATTGTTAGACAGATATATACATTTGTTTCTAGAATGCTCATTTTATTTCATTGATCTACTCAATTATTTCTGTGTCATGTTTTAATTGCTGAGACTTTATAATGGATTTGAATTTTTAATATTTTATAATGGATTTTGACATTTAAATAAATAAATAAAATCTGCATTAAAAAAAAGAAAGAAAGAAAGAAGGAACTCCTACCTTTTGTGACAACATGGATGGAACTGGAGAATATTATGCTAAGTGAAATAAGCCAGTCAGTGAAAGACAAACACCACATGATCTCACCTATAAGTAGAACCTATTCAACAAAATACACTAATGAACAAAATAAACCACAGGCATGGAAATGTGGAGCAGATGAAAGTGACCAGAGGGGATGGGAAAGGAGGACAATGGTGGACAGAAGGGGAAGGGACTAGACGAAGAACATGTCTGAATGACCCATGGGCATGGACAACAGAGTGGGAATTGACTGTGGGAGCGGGGAGGCGGGGTGCAGTGGGTGGAGGAGGGCAAAGGGGGAAAAATTGAGATGACTCTAATAGAATAAACATGATGTTTTAAAAAATTAAATTAAATTAAAAAAAAAAAGACATGCCATTTCTGAATCCAGATGGCCTGGGCTGGAACTCAGCCAGAAATCACTGGCTGTATGATTTCTGGCAAGTGACTGTACCTCTTTGTGCCTCAGTTTCCCAATCTCTATGGTTGTGAGAAGAATGAATTCTACTTCACAGGATTTTTTGTGTTTTGTTTTTTTTTAAATGAGGATTAAGCAAGTCAATACATAAGGATGCTTCCATCAGTGTTAGATGTGTTAGTTGTTATTGGTTTATTATTGTCACCAGTATTATTTATTACACAGGAGGGAAAGGCCAAGAGCCAGAAGTTTAGTATACTGGATGCTCCAGCCTCTTGGCGTGGGGGTTCCCTTTGACCTTAAGAAAAGCAAACCATCCTCAAAACTATCGACTTTATCCCTGTTCCCAAACTCTCCAAGTGCTGCTCAGCTGGGAATGGGGGTGAGGGGTGTCCAGGCCACCATTCTGGAACAAGTTGACATCTGTCACTCAGACCCTGAGTCTTGTGGGTATGATTGGCTGAGATTGGCTACATGGGCTCTGACAAGGACAGGGCGGTCACACCCATGATGATGCCACCAAAACTTAGTACAAAGCTTAAGGGCTTCATCTGCCATGATTGATTGTGTATTGGGGTGAAGAGTGTCCCCCCACCCCAATTCATGTCCACTGAGAACCTCAGAATATGATCTTATCTGGAACTAGGGCCTTTGCAGAGGTCATGAGTTAAGTTGAAATGAGGTCATACTCAATTAGGTTGGACCCTAAATTCAATGACTTTTGTGCTTATAAAAAGAGGAGAGATAACAAGAGACAGAGAGGCCATGTGACAATGGAGGAAGAGAATGGAATGATGCATCTATAAGTCAAGGAATGCTAAGGACTGCAGGCAACAGCCAGAAACCAGAAGAGAGGCCTGGGACAGAGTCTCCCTCAGGGCTCTCTGAAGGAACCGACCCTGCTCTGCCACTCAATGGCTGACACCTTGGTTTCAGACTTCCAGCCTCCTGGACTGTGAGGGAATAAATGTCTATTGTTTTCAGCCTCCCATTCTGTGGCCATTTGTCACATCAGCCCATGGAAACAAAGATAGCTGGTCTCCAAGATGGCTGCCCTTGCTTCCTTCCCTCCCTGTAGGTGCATGTCATTCGACCTTCCTAAGGTAGGCTCTGTTTGCCTCCACTGGAGTCTGGGCCAGCCTGAGTGATTATTGTGACCAGTAGAATGAGGTAGATGTAACCATCTGGGACTTCCGAGGCAAGGTCATGAGCAGTGTCTTCCACCTGGGTTGAAGTTCAACCAACCTGCGACAGCCATGCTGTGAGCTAACCCTGGGTTAGGAGGCACCGAATGGGAGAAGGAAGGGGGAAAGGAAGAGAAAGAAAGACAGAGATGGGGAGGGAGAGAAAGAGAGAGAGTAAAAGGAGGAGGAGTAAGGGAGAGGTGGAGAAGCCATCTCAGAAGTGCATCTCCAATCCCAGCCACCCCTACTGATGCCACAGGTGAACTTACCAGCCACAATTTTCCCAAAATTCCTGACCCCCGACAATTGTAAGCGAAATGAAATGGCTAGTTTAAGCCCCTAACTTTGGGGGCATTTGTTACGCCACTGGGACACTTCTAACAGCAACTCTCCCTTCACAGTGCCACTCTGGGGAAAGTGCTAGCTAATACACCCTTTCCCCGGATTCACCAAAACCCTGCATCTCCTCTGGAAGATGCACCGCATGGTGCCAACACTTACTGTACTCCGCTCTAGTTACCCGGGGCCCCTTCCACCTCAGGTTGCACCAAAGGTTTGTTCCCAGACCTGTTGTATTCCTCCTGATTAATGAGCCACTACACAAATCTATTAGCTACAAGCATAGCATGAAAGAGGTTGTTGTATCTCTGAAAACTGAGCCATGCACTTTGGAAAGACTTGTTCAGAGGTCAGTCACAGATATAAAAATAAAATGGCTATACAATTAAGTATAGATGAGCCAATGATGAGAATTGTAAAAAGGAAAGTTTCAAAAATCTAAGCAGATTCCAGAAATGATTGTCAATGCCTTCTGGGTATGCTTTATGACAATGAACTCTATCTAGCAGACCCACCTTCACAAGATCTATAATATATGTCTTTTGAGAATCCTCCACTTTAAGCAATCACACAGAGGATGAAGGTATCTGTTATTTATCCCCATTCTACAGATGGGAAAACTGACAATGGAGAGGCACTGGGCAAACATCTGGGTCTGGAACCCCGGCCTGTCCAATCGTATTTGAAACTCTGCTGAGTCCAGACTGGGGTAGGGCCTGGACGAGCATCTCTCTTGGGAGCTGTTTTGGGGAGGTAGATATTGAACGTTCTAGAACACTTACCCTGGAAACTGGGGAAGTAGGTAGCCAGGTGAGAGGTGGAGATCTTCTCCTCCAGGATGTCGGTTTTGTTGAGGAAGAGGATGACGGATGTGCTTTTGAACCAGGGCAGCTCCAGGATCGTGCCGAACAGGGCCAGACTCTCCTTCATCCTGTTCTGGGTTGGGGGACAGAGGCAGTTCACTGCTCAGGTCAGCCAGGTTGGCCCAAATAGGAGCCCTCCCCCGACGTGGAGGCGGGCCTGCGGGGGCGTGGCTGGCCGCCCGTGAGTGCCCAACATGGTTTTGTGCCTCAGCTGGCTGGACTAGTATCCCCCCAAATTCATGTCCGCCTGGAACTTCAGAATGTGACTTCATTTCGAAGTAGGGTCTTTAAAGATGCAATTAGTTAAGAAGAGGTCACACTGGAATTGGGTGGCCCTGAGTCCAACGCGTGGTGTCCTTATAGAAAGGGGAAATGAGGACAGAGATGCGTACAAGGCAGATGCCATGTGACGACAGAGGCTGAGCTGGGGGGTCACACCTACAGTCATGGAGCCTTGAGGGCTGCCAGAGTCACCAGCAGTTGGGAGAGCTTCTCCCTGAGGGCTGCAGAGGAAGCGGCCCTGCTGACACCCTGCCCTCAGACTGCAGCCTCCAGGACTGAAAGGGGACACTTTTCTGGTGTCTCAGCATCCCCACCTCCCCATCCCCCAAGTGTGTGGTCATTTGTTACAGCCACTTGAGCAAACTAGGACATCTCATATGGCTGGATCCGAGCAAGAGCTATGTCCAAAGGACCTCAAACGCGTTCTTCCTGATTTAGTCTGAAAGCCAAAATTGTAACATCTCCCTCTCAAATGCCCAAACCAGCTATGTGACACCTTAGCCACTAAATATGCACACATCAAAGATGACAGTGTGTCCAACCTTCACGTTGGGTGTTAATTAGGAGAAGAGGTCACAAAAGAAGATTGATCCTCACCAGCATTTCTGCGTAAAAGTGTGATGCTGTCCCTGCAGTGTGACACAATATTTCCAGGACAGTCTGCATTATGCTTCAAGGGGAAGGGGCATGTGTGAGTACATGACTGTCCCTGTGTTTGCGTGTGCATGCATGACACATGTGAGTGTTGCTGGCAACACAAATGCTGTGGGTCAGAGTTTTGGGGCTCAGTGATCCGATTGTGAAAGAACGGAATGTGAGGCCCAGAGCCCCACCGGCACGCACGGGCCTGCTCCAGAGGGGCACTGAGGCTTCCGGCCCGGCCGTGGGTCCCTGCGCCAACGGGAGGAGGAGGGCAGAGAAGATGGCTCCTGCACCCTCAGGGGCCCCTCACCTCTTGGTTGTTCTCCTCCAGGCACTGGTCGTATTCGCTCAGCGAGGCCAGGTAGATGAGGGCGATGACGTTCTCAAAGCAGTGGATCCACTTCTTGCGTTCTGACCTCTGGCCTCCGACATCGACAATCCTAGCAAATCACCCCCTTTCAGAGCTCAGGCTTCATCAGAACCCCACAACATGGCACTCCAGGCCCCAGTCACGTCTGGGACATGCCAAGAATAGCACGACAAGCAGCAAGACTAGGGGCCAGCCAGTGGGCCACACCTCTTGTTTGCTATTGCACTTCAGCCCCCCACTATTATACACGTTATACACATGAGGAAACTGAGGTGCAGAGAGGACAGGGGACCTTCCCAAGCTTCTACTGCACTGGATTGCCTGGTTTCTACCCCCGTGGCGGAGGACAGCAGGTCAGACACATCCGGAGTCTGCCCTTGTCCTGGCTGACTGACCCAGGGGAAACTGCAGACCATCTGCACACCTCGGTCTTCCCATCAGGGAAATGGGGATGCTGGGTCTGGCTGGCCAGGAGACTGCCCAGTGGCGAATGCCTTCCCCTCTGTGTGTGGCTCAAGGCAAGGGCCAGGCCCCCACCTGCACGCACCACAACAGAAGCCTGAGCCTTCCTGCCCTTCTGTGCTGTCGTTGAAGAAATGTGGGTCACCGATAACAAACCCTGCGTCATTTCCCCAGGATCCGGCTGTTACTCGGGCAGCCAACAGGAAATGCCAGAGACCTCAGAGTAAGAAGGGACTTGCCCCACCGTACGGAAAGGGAAAGAGGTTAGCACCTGTAGCTCCTGATCCCAGAAACCTGCCCCTCTCATGCGTCAGACCCCCTCCAGCCCCCAGACCCAGAAGAGGATGTGGGTGCTGCGGCTGAGCGCAGGGCTCTGAAGACTGAGGCGGAGGTGGGGTACACTATTTGCCAGCCTCCCATCTCAGGGTCTCAGTTTCCTCTGCTCCCTCGCTCCACTGATTAACTTCTCTCCTTGGCCTAAGAACATACTCAAGTCTCCCGCCTAAAAGTCCGCTCCCAGCCTAGCCTTCCTTGTGAACATCCCCAACTGCTACCCTCGCTCCTAAGCTCTTACCCGACCATCCACCCATCTACACTTCTATCCCCCCACCCCATCTATCCATCCTCCACCCACATACCCACCCATTCACTGATCTATCCATTTATCTACCTATCCATCCACCCACTGACCCATCCATCCATCCATCCATCCATCCATCCATCCACCCACTGACCCATCCATCCATCCATCCATCCATCCATCCATCCATCCACCCACTGACCCATCCATCCATCCATCCATGTGCTCGTCCTCCCATCTTTCCAGCCCCCCTCCCACATTTACCAGCTTCCATTCTGACCCTGTTCTGATGGGAGCAGAAGGCTGAAACTCAGCCCCAAACCTTGTGGGACTCTCCACCTAGTAATGGAGACCCACAGAAAACAGGTGAATTATGAAGCTTTCTGGAAAGGACTATTGCAGAGGCCAGAACAGCATGTTTAGGGTGGGAGGAGGTGGTCCAGGGAAATGAGAGACTCAACACGGGTGGGCGGGTCACAACCCGTCTCCAGGCGTCCCCTGCACTCTCCAGAGCTCCCTGCCGTCAGCCCACAGACACAGAGCTCGCTACGGTCACAGATGACCCTCTAACTGCCAATCCCAGAAGTCTCTTCTGTTGCATGCTTCCTGACCTCTCCTTGACCTTTGACACTGGCCATCACCCTCCCTGGACGCCACCGGGCTGCGCTGGCCACCACAACTCTGTCTTCCAGCTCAGGCCTGTGCATGCCCAGCCACCTCCCAGACACCCCCGACCCCTCAGACTCAGCTGTCTTATCTAACACTCCCCATCCTGCTGCCACCATAATGGCTCCACCTTTCACCCTGTCACCTTAATGGGAAACTGGGAGTCATTTTCAACTCCCTGCTCTAAGTCTCATACTTACCTAGTCCTGCCCATTCTACCTCTGAAGCACTTCTTGCACCATCCCCTCCTTTCCATCCTCAGGACCACTGTCCTGGCCCTTGCCAACCCTTCCTGCCTGGACCATGGCTCCTGCCTCCTACCTCCCCAGACCTCTAGTCTCACTCCCTTTATTGACCACTAGAGGGATCACCCTCTGAGCTTCCACACCTCCAAATCCATCCCTGTGACCACAGCTCTGATCACACAGTCTCTGTCTTCTCCTGCATAACAACCTCTCAAGAGTCGGCACTAGTGAACTCCTACTCATCCTTCAATGCCCTAATACTAATGTTCCCTCCTCCAGGAAGACCAAGCTCTCGTACCTCACTCTGGACTCTTCCAGGTCCCAGTCCTGACATATGGGGGGCTGGAGGTGTCCATGTCCATCTCTGCCTCCTTTAGCCTGGATGCCCCTTGAGGGCTGGCCCTAGGAAACTCCTACTCCTCCCTCAGGGCCCCAGCTGCTCTGCCCCTCCTCCAGGAAGCACTTTCCACTGTGCAGGCTGCACTCACCGCAGGTTGGTTTTCTGCACAGAGAAGCAGTACTCGTTGATGCCGGTGGTGGGCATTCGGCTGCGAAGCACGTCCTGCGCCGTGGGGATGTAGCCCTCCTCAGTGATGCGCTCCAGGTCCGACAGGTAGCTGGGGAGCAACGAGCCCTGAGCCCAGCCCTGCAGCCTCCCTTGGCTTCTCAGAACCAGGGCCCAGTGAGGACCCTGCTGGGGGAGAGAGCCCCCCAGGAGGGGCTAGGGCCTCTGGGGCCTGGGGCCCAGGAACACTATCCAGAGCCCGTGGGAGCATTGGAAAAAGGAGCTTGGAGCAACATGACCCTGAGACAGTGTGACCTCAAGAACAACACCACTGCAGAGGGGTGTCACCTTGGAGGACTGTCATCAAGAGTGGCATTGCTCCGAAAACAGTGATGGCCTGGGAACACATCACCCCAGGGCCCAGTGTCGTGCCCAGGACAGCAACGCCACATGATAATGAGCATCACCCAGAAATGGTGTCACCCGGGGCAGCATCACCCCAGGAATAACATCACCCCCAAAACAGGATCACCCCAGGGACAATGCCACCCCAAGGACGATGTTACCCTGGGGCACAACCATCCCACAGCCAGCTCATGCGCCACAGCAGGTCCCCAGGGTGGAAGTCGGCCACCTGGGACTCCCTCTGTCCGGGTGCCGTCCTGGGGCTGGGTCTCCGCTGGCTGCATCTCGGCCCATGGCTGTGCCCAGTGACCACCTCACCTGAAGCCCCTGCCCACCACCCTGACCCCAGACTCACTACACAGCCGAGTCAAGCAGGTGAAACTCGCGCCGGCGCTCGTAGCAGGCCCGGATGCCGGCGTCCCTCCACAGCTCCTGCATGGCCACCGCGTAGTGCTTCTCAAAAGTGGTGACTTTGTAGGGGTCCTGGCTCATGACCAGGCTGGCATGGTGCTGGAGGGGCAGACGAGGCAGGTCAGAGTGGCCTCCAGACATGCCAGCAAGTCCCCTCCTTTCTCAGCCGCCTCTCCTTCCTAGCCCAGAGCTCGCTGGCGTTCCCTTCACACCCTGCACGTTCCTGCCTCCCTGCCTCCCCGACGCGCTCCTTCCTTCACTCATGCATTCAACCATGGGGGTGGGGAGGGGGCGGTGCGTGCCCACCCCCCCTTACCAGGGACAGCAGAGAAATGAGTTCCTGGGGACGATAGAGGATGAAGACCGTGGCCCGTGGGCACTGAGGGCCTCCTAAATGCGGGGACCCCTCCTGCTCTTTACAAGCACTGGTTTCTCAACCCCTAGGAGACGAGTCCCTACAACTGTCCCCTTTGCTACAGATTAGACTATGGAGGCATGAGAAGTGACTTGCCCAAGTCTCACATCGAGGTAGAGCACATGGCAGCCCCAGGGGTGGGGAACAGGCAGGGCCTGGGTGTTTGCGAATAATTCCTGTGCAGAATCGATCACAAAGCTTGCAGCCTGTCATGACTTGGATTTCACCCGCTGTTTCCTATACAGGGTGTGGCTGTATGTGGAGGTGGGGGTCTTTACAGAGGTGATCCAGCCACAATGGGGTCACTAGGGTAGGCCCAATCTGACACACGACTGGTGTCCTTTACAAAAAGAAGAGGGATGACCCTGGGCGGACACAGGGAGAAGCCAGCCATCTGCAAGCCAAGGACAGAAGCTTTAAGAAACCAGCCCCATTGACACCTTGATCTGAGACTTCCAGCCTCCAGAATTGTGAAAAAATAAATTTCTGTTGTATAAGCTCCCCAGACTGTGGCACTTTGTTATGGAAGCCTGAGCAAAATAATGCACAGCCTGAAAACATAAGAACTCCAAAGTTTTTTTTAAAAAAACATGATAAAAATGGTTAATAATTTTAAAAGCAAAAATTAAGAGAAGCATCCTTCTAAAAATTAAAGGTACAAATTATATTCGGTGAAGGTCCTGAATGGAGCACAATGTGCTTTGAATGAAGTGAATATGGGGTCTTTGCTATTAAAAGGCAGGAGACTGGAAATGAGACAATGGTGTCCGCTCACAGCATTTCTAATTAGCACTGAACTGAGGTCCCCACCAGGGAAAAGAAATGAAAGATCGGGTTTGGAAAGGAATAAATTCCACCGTGGCTGTTCACAGATGACATGACTTTATGTAGAAAATCCAAAAGAGTCTATAGATAAACTGTTAGAATAAACAAGTGAACTTAACAGGGTCCACAAATGCAAGCTCAATTAAACAAAAATCAAATGTGTGTCTAATACTATCCACTACCTAGTGGAAATTTTTAAAAACTTAAACCCCATTTATAGTAGCATCAAACAATAGCAAATACCTAGGAATAAATCTAACAATGGATGTGAAACAAAGAGTTTATATCCAGAATATACAAAGAATTTGCTACAAATCAGTAAAGAAAAAACTGAGGGCCCTGGCCAGGTGGTTCAGTTGGTTGGAGCATCATCCCATATTCCAAAAAGGTTGCAGGTTCGATTCCTGGGCAGGGCACATACCTAGGTTGTGGGTTCAATCCCTGGTCAGGGTGCATATGGGAGGCAACTGCTCAATGTTTTTCTCTCACATCAAAGTCAGTCTCTCTCGCTCGATCTCTCTCTCTCTCCCCCCCCCTTTCCTCTGTCTCTAAAATCAATAAACATATCCTCAGCCAAGGATTTTTTCAAAACTGAGAAACTATATTTTTTTTAACTAGGAAAAGAACAAAATTAAAAAATGGGCAAAAGATTTGAACAATTGCTTCACAAAAAAAGAATATCCAAGTATCTAAGAAAACATATGAAAAAGTACACAAGTTCATTATTAATCAGGGCCACAAAAATCAAAACCACAATGAAATGCTGCAAGCACTTGGCAGCATTTCCAAGCACCCACCAGAATGGCTTAAATGAAGTGACAGACATCAAATCTTGACTAGGACAAGGAGCACCCAGAACTCTGCACGTACTGCTGATGGGAGTGTGAATTGCTACAATTACTTGAAAAACAGTTTGCTGTCTCCTACCTGTCCCTTCTGGTTAGATACCCAACAGAAATATGCAGATGACCCAAATGTGAACATTAGAATGGACAAATAAACAAACCATGGCATACAGTTACGGTAAAAATAAACCACTACTATGCCACCAAAGGATGGATGAATCACAGATATACTGTACAGCACCAGAAGCCAGACATAAAAGATCATTCCAGAAAACTTGAGAATTAATAAAAATAGGTGACCTGTGTACGGAGATGGAAGATGGGATAGTGGTTCTCCTTCGGGAGAGCCTCCGTTTCATCTGTAGAATGGGGTTATAGCTGAGATGGGTATTGTGAGGATTAAATAATCATATCACACGCTGACACTGAGCCCATACCACATTCCAGACACTGTTTTGAGAGCTTTGGGCAGTTTTCATTTATCACATTCTTATACCAGCCCTGTGAGGTAGAAACTGCTGGCTCCCCACTCACTCTTCCAAAGTCCCTGGACCATCTCAGATTCACAACTGAGATGCTTTCAGATTTTACAAAGGTTATGTGACCTCCCACCTATTAGGATGACCATTGTAAAACAGACCAAAAAAGCAAAAAAACCACCAAGTGTTGGTGAGGATGTGGAAAAATTAGAACCTGTGCATTATTGGTAGGAATGCAAAATGGTGCATCAGCTTTGGAAAACTATGGAGATTCCCCAAAAAATTAAAAATAGAATCACCATATAATGCAGCAATTCTACTCTTGGATATTTATCCAAAAATAAAATTGAAATCATATCTTGAAAAGATATGAGTTCTCCTATATTCATTGCAACACTATTCTCAATAGCCAAGATGTAGAAAAAACCCAAATGTCCATCAACAGATGAATGGACAAAGAAAATGGGGTCCACCATGCAGTGGAATAGTATTCAGCCTTTAAAAAGAAGAAAATTCTTGTAAAGTTTATGATTCTCTAACCACTATGCTGTACACTTAAAACTAACACAAAATAATTGAATGTAAACTGTAATTGAAAAATAAAAATTAAGCCCTGGCCAGGTAGTTGGTTACATCATCACCCTGATACGCCATTGTTGCAGGTTCAGTCCCAGTCAGAGCACATACAAGAATCAACCAATGAATGCATCAATAAGTGAAACAACAAAATTGATGTTTCTCTCTTTCTCTCTCTCTCCCTCCCTGTCTCTCTCTCTCTCTCTCTAAAAATCAATAAATAAAATTGTTTTAAATTAAAAAATAAAATAAAAATAAGGAACTTCTACCATAGGTGACAATGTGGATAAACCTTGAGAATATCATGTTAAGTGACATAAGCCAATCAAAGAAGGACAAATACTGCATGACCCCACTTACACGAGGCATCCAGAATAGGCAGACTCAAGGGACCAGAGGAGAACGGGCTTGTGGGTGGACATGCGCAACTGCTATTCAATAGGCAGAGGGTTCCCGTGACTTGGGGGTTGAGCTCTGCCGCACATCCTCTCTCTAGTTAACACTGAACTATGCACTTAAAATTTGAGAGGGTAGATCTCATGTTGAGTGTCCTTACCACAACAAAATATTTTTTAAAGATTTTATTTAATTTTTAGAGAGGAGAAGGGAGAAAGACAGGGAACGCATCAATGTACGGTTGTCTCTCCAGCGCCCCCTGCTGGGGAGCTAGTCTGCAATCCAGGCATGTGCCCTGACTGGGAATCCAACCAGCAACCCTTTGGTTCACAGGCTGGCACTCAATCCACTGACCCACACCAGCCAGGGCAAAAATAATAATTAAAAAAATTATGTGATTCATGAACTGTATAGCAACCCCTCCCCACAATAATCAGTCCATTGTATTAATATTTCCACCAGGGAACAGGTGCGCTGACTCAGGACTCCCACGTGAATCATGGGGTCCAAGGGTCGAGTGCTGGGGGTGCGCAGGGCACAAGTAAAGAGGGAGCATGCTGGTGTGGAGCTGCCTGGAATGCACAGCAGGACCCAAGAAACCCCTGGAAGGGCGTTCTTAATGAGGACCTGGGGGTCCTGAGAGACCCGCCCCCTAGGATGACACCCGTGCGACAGCCCCAGGACGCTCACCTTGCTCTCCGGCCTGCTGAAGGGGATCTGCAGCTGGTCCATGGCCTCAATCATGGCCCGCATGGACACGAAGATGTTCTGGTAAACGAGCCGCCGGAAGCCCTTGCGGTCCTCCTCCGAGTAGCCAGCCCCATGGATGATGCGCATCTGCTTGATGAATGTGCTCTTCCCGCTCTCACCGGGGCCTGCGGGGGGCACGCCTTCGCTCAGTCTCAACCCCAGCCTCCTGGGTTCAAATCCTCTGGGCCAAGGCTGCACTCGGGGACCCCGGTGAGCGCCTTCACCACCCTGTGCCTCAGTTTCCCTACCTATAAACGACGGATCGTGATAGGCCCTGTCTGCTCGATGTGAGGGTGAAATGAGTGCATTGTAAGGGGCCCCTAGAAGGGGTCTGCAAACTCTGGTCCTCAGGCCAAATCCAGCCACAGCCTGTTTTTGCACAGCCAGGTACTTTTTACAGTTTTTGCACAGGGGTACTTTGTATGTTTTTTCTGTTTCTGATACTTTTCATGGTTCTAGTTTTTACATTTTAAATGGGTGAAAGGAATCAAAAGAAAATTGTTTTGTATCACATGAAAATTAAATGAAGTTCAGGTCTCAGTGCCTATCAATAAAGTTTTATTGGCACACGACCACACCCATTTGTGTTTGAATTGTCTATGGCTGTTTTAACCCTACAATGACAGAGTTCAGTAGTCAGACAGAAACCCTCTGGTCCACAAGGCTGAAAATATTTTGCTGTCTCTTACAGAAAAAGTGTGCGGACCATGGCTTAGAGCATGCTTACACATAGAAAGAGCTACATGTGATTCATGAACTGTCCAGCAGCCCCTATACAGTTCACTATTATTATTAGTGTCAGTGTTCAGTATTATTATTAGTATCAGTGTTTATCATAATTATAATTAATATTATTCGCTATAATAATCTCAAGTAGAGAAACTTTTATGAAGGAAATAAAATAGGATAGATAAAGAGTGTTCAGGTGACTTTTATAGGTGAGTGTCAAGGAAGGCTGGGAAGGTTGCTCTTGTGCCAAGATTTGGTGGAAGGACATTCCATGCATAAGGCATAGCCTGTGCAAAGGTCCTGCGGCAGGACCATGCCTGTCATGTTGGAGGAACAACGAGGAGGCTGGAGGGAAAGAGAGGGAGAAGGTGATGGCAGGAAGGGGACTGGGCAGGTCATGCAGGTCCTTGTGGGAGGACTTGGGCTCTTACCCCTGAGAGGTTGCTGTCTTGGAGAGGCTGTGAAAGGAGGAGGAATAGGACCTGACTTGGGTGCTCACATGCGCCCTCTGGTGGCCGCTTTCAGGGCGACAGGCTGTGGGGTACCAGAGCAGAGGCACTGGGAGGGTAGAGGTAGAAGATGGTGTGGCCCTGGGAACTGGTGAGAAGGGGGCATATTCACAAGATATTTGGGAGATTGAATCAACTGGGCCTTCTTGATGAACCCAAGTGGGTAGAGAGGCCCTCGCAGGGCCAGCTACAAGGCCAAGTGCAAGATGAAACCACAGGCCCCTTCTGAGATAGGGTGCTGGGGGTACTGATCAGGTTGCGCACACACTAAGCTGGCCCTCTGTGATATCAATTCTGGAATATTCAAGAGCCCAGGAGCAAAAGCTCAAAGACCCAGTCCCAGCACCCTGCTGTCTGACCTCCATCCCTCCCTCTCCGTGCCTCTGTTTTCTGTCTGTAAAATGGGTGTGATAGCCAGAGAGAAGATGCAAGGCTAGGAGGCTCCTCCAACATCTGATCACGCTGCCTGGTTCTGGGGGACATGGGCATGGGGGTTTTCCAGGGACCAGAGTGGGACTGTGCAGGAGGAACTGGAAAAGCAGCAAAAAGGGAAGGGGTGGCCTTGTTGGACCCCAGAAAGAGGAAATGAAAGCAGAGAGAGGTGAGCAGAAAGGAGGGTGGAGAGTGCGGGCGGCAAAGAGAAGGAAGGTGCTACCTTGCATCACCCCCTAGAGATGTCTTGTGTCCTGCCCACCCCCAGCATGTCTGAGAGTAAGGGGAGCAGGTCTGAGGTGGCACTGGCTGTTATAAGTCCACTAGAATCGAGGTCTAAGAAAAAGTCACTTTTGCCCTGGCTGGGTGGCCTGGTTGGTTGGAGCGTCATCCTGTACACCAAAACGGTCTCCAGTCAGGGTGCGTGCCTAGGCTGCAGGTTCAATCCCCGCTCGGGACACATCCAGGAGGCAACCAATGCATGTTTCTCTCTCACATCTCTCTCCCTCCCTCTCCCTCCCTCTCTCTCCCTCTCTCTCTCTCTCTTTATAAAGTCATTAATAAAAAATATCCTCTGGTGGGGGTTAAGAAAAGAGAGAGAGAGAGGCGTGTTTCTGTTGCCATGAAGAACACTAGTAGGGAAACGGGGGAAGCCGACTGGTGTGAGTCTGGGGGGCTACGGCTGGCGGCACCGCGCCAGGCTCCTGGCCAGTGTCTGTTGTGGTCCCGGGGGGGTCTTTGCTTTGTAGTGAGACTCAAACCCACTGAAATACTTAGGGGTAAAAAGGCATCAGGTCTGCAACTTACAAATGGTTCAGAAAAAATGGAAATGGACAACCAAGTAGGCCCAGTTGTCACGTGCACCATGTCTGGTTCCTCAAGTGTCACCGCTATGAAGAAAGTGGTTCAGCAGCTCCGGCTGGAGGCCGGGCTCAACCGCGTGAAGGTTTCCCAGGCAGCTGCAGATTTGAAACAATTCTGTCCGCAGAATGCCCAACATGACCCCCTGCTAACTGGAGTATCTTCAAGTACCAATCCCTTCAGACCCCAGAAAGTTTGTTCCCTCTTGTAATGAAATGAATCTTTGAAGGTATTCTAAACCACTTTTCATGAACCAGTAAATATTCAAAGAGAGCTCAGTTTGACGCCTGTACAAAAAGCTTATTATCCCTGTAACACGTGCCACACTATACAAACTTCTGCTTTTGTCAGTCCTTAACATCTACCTCTCTGAATTTTCATGAATTTCTACTTCACAAGGATGATTATTTTATATACACTGGCAGCGGCATACAAATAAATACTTAGTATAAAAAAAAGAAAGAAGAGAAAAAATGGAAACATATGTATTAAATATGTAACTGTATAGTAAATAAATTATAGCTATAATTATGCATGAAATAAATTATGTGTGAATATATACTTACATATAGCATATACATGTGTGTATATATTTGCAGGGAGAAGGATAAAGGAAATGTGGTAAAATGTTAACATTTGCAGAAGAATCCAGGCGCAGCTTCTCTGTAAGTCTGGATGCATTTCAAAGTAAGTTAAGAAAGGAAAAAAAAAAAACAACTCTAAATGCAATATGAAAAGCTGGATTGGATCCTAGAACCAAAAAAAAGGGCCTTCGTGGAAAAGACAGTCAAATGGTCCAATGCTCCGTCTGGAGTTTAGTTAACAGTGATGCGACAGGAAGACTCCCCTGTTAACTCCTCAGCTCAGACAACGGTGCTGCGGTTCCCTGAGACGTGAATGGGCGGGGAAGCTGCTTGGGAGCAGAGGGTAACTCTGTGTACTATCTTTACAACTTTTCCCTACATCTAAAATTATCCCCAGCTAAAAAGTTTCCTTAAAAAAAAAAGTACTGGCGGCTCCCCCAAGTCTATAAGCTCTCCAATGCGGGGCCACATTGTCTCAGGTTCCAGAATTTCTTGCATTTTATGAAGAGGACACATCAGACTCACTAAATATTCCGGAATGGAAACACCTGAATATCACAGCCTTGCTTCCTAGTTAGAAACCTGGGGAGATCTCCAGTCTTCAGAAGTCTGGCGAGTAGGGGAAGGCAGAAGGGACTGAGCTCGCACACCCTTGAGGGCTGAGAGCATGAAGCGCCATCTCACCTGAGCCTCACAGCAAGAGGGATGGTTCTTGGCCCCACTTTTCAGGTAGGAAAACTGAGTCCCAGATCTCTTGAGGGGACTGCTTTGGGTCACACAGCTGGCGAGTGGCAAGCTGAGACTCAAGCCCAGTTCGGCCTGAGTCCAGAGCTTGTGGACTTATTTTTTATGATTTTATTTCATTTATTTTTAGAGAGAGGGGAACAGAGGAAGGAAGAGAGGGAGCAAAACATCAATGTGTGAGAGAAACATAGATCAGTTGCCTCTCATACGCCCCCAACTGGCATGCGCCACAACTGAGGCACAGGCCCTGACGGAGAATTGAATCTGCGCGACCCTTTGGCTTGCGGGATGATGCCCAACCCACTGAGCCACACCAGTCAGGACCTCATGGGCTTCTTAATTATAATACAGAAAGTTCCCCGTGTGCTGCCTAAACAATAATGACATTAATAATAATAACCACTGGCATCATCACCACAGCAAGCATGATTTAACTCTTGGCATCTGCCAGGACAGGGGCCGACACACTTGGTGCTTGTCTTCAGTCAGTCCTCATGAGATTCCTGCTGTTTTCCCACTTACAGAGGAAACGAGGGCTCAGCTCAGGAAGGTGAAGTGCCTTTCCCAGGGTCACACAGCTAGTGGAGAAGCAGGGGACTAAAGTCAAGCCTTAATGGGTCCTTCACCCTGAGAATGGAACATAGCCAGTCGGGTGAGTCAGAAGTCATCAAAATATCAGTTAACGTGACAATCTACAGACGCTCAGAAGCTGGACAGCCCCTTCGGGTGCTGTCGGGGACAGCACTGAGACCTATGGCACAGCGCTGCACCCTTGACCTCTCTCTTGGTTGCCTTTGAACTCTCAGACCTCAGGTCTCCACCAAATATACAGAGAACGAAAGTCTCAGGGAGCAACAGTTAACTATGTTGTGATGCACTGATTTTTTTTTCACTTTGCTTCTGCTTTATTAAAGAAAAAAAAACATTGTGGTCTCCACCCACAATATGGATTTTGTGACTCATGAATGGATCACAACAAGTATTCTGAAAAATTCCCCAGGTTGAAACCCCTCTTTGCATTCCAGGCCTGTCCTGAAGCCACTAAGGGACTTGGAACCTCTCCGTCCCCTGGCTCCTGGCCTGCCTCAGGAAACCCCCTACGTGGCGCTGGGAGCTGTGGGGCAGCTGCATCCACCTGGCGGTGTCGCAGCCCAGACAGGAAGTGATACTTCCTCCTGGGATGGATGAGGAAGTGGAAGCCAGCAGACGCCTGGAGGAGCTGGGCCAAGCCCCAGGCATCACGAGACAGCATGTGGCTCCTGTCAAGGGGACAGGGCCCCAGCCCCCACCTACCCTAGGGTACAGGAGCCAGTCTGGGCAGCAGCGGGTGGAGGGCAGGCAGCTCCGCTCAGCTCTGGCTCAGACTGGCTGCTGACTCAGACCAATGCTGCCACTTCCTTGGACCTCAGTTTCTCCATCCGTCATTGGGGTTTTGTGGCTTTTCTTTCCTGGGGCATGTTCACAGGGCAGTCAAACATACAGACTTGGAACTGGACTTCTAGGTTCTGATCTTGGCTGTGTGACCTTGGGCAAGTTGCTGCATTTCCCTGAGCCTTGGTTTCCCTATCAGAGATTATGGCTTCATTCTGACTCCACCTGGCCCAACTTGGTGATCACTTCCTGTCAGGGAGAGACAGCCCCTCCCCCAACACAGGGTTGGCCCTCATCCTTAAAAGGATTAGCAAACCTGTAGAAAAAATTACTTTTGGATTTAATTCCTGTTTGCAGGAAGGGAGGGAGGTGCAGAGGTGGCCCTCAGAGCCAGGATGGGGGTGGTCAAAACCAGTCCACATGGCTGCTCACAGGGTGCTTGGAACCTGGACACAGTGCTTGGGGACCATCACTGTGCTTGGGGACACAAACAACCTCCTTTCCCCGCTCTCTTTCACACGCCAGCAGAAGGGCTTCCTGATTTTGGGCTGGCTGTGCACTGGTCAGAGCCTTATGGGGCGAGGGTCCTTCCCAGCGCCAGGAAAATACAATACGGCTCTGGAGAAAATCTCCCCTGAATGAAGATTGATTCATTCATTCGTTTGTTCGTTCGTTCACTCCTTTATAAAGCACGCACTAGGCATCAATCATACATCAGGTTCATTGTCTTGCTGGGCTAGATGCTCGGAGCACAGGAGTGAATAAGACAGACATGATCCCCACCTCACACAGTTTGCGCTGTAACCGGAGAGGCAGACAGTAAACAAGCAAACACCTAAGAGTGACAGTGAGTGCTTTGACGAAAAGTCAAGCAGAAGATGGAGGAAGATGGGGCTATCTGTGTAGCCATGGAATTCAGGGAAAACCTCTCTGAGGAGGTAACATTTGAGCTGAGACCTGTGCTGAACGAGAGCACCCTGTGAGCTCTTGGCTGTGAGAACAGCAAGTGCAAAGGCCCCGAGGTTCCGATAAATGAACTCAAAATGTGCAAGGAAATATCACTAACACTGATAAACCACTAGTCTGATGGATGAAGAAAAAGGACTGAAGACAAATAATTAAAGAGGGACATCACTATGGATCCGACACACACAAAAAGGGTGATGAGAGAATGTCATAAACAATGTTATGCCCATAAATTTAACAATTTTGAAGAAATGGACAAATCCTTTGAAAGACACCCATAACCAAAGCTCACTCAAGAACAGATAGCTTAAATAGGCCCATATATTAAAAATAATAAATAACATGTTACTATATCACATATATTAATATAATAATATAAAGAAAGAAAATATAGAGATAGCTAGTAAAGTAATTAAAGTCTTATTTAATAAGAATTAATGTAGGCTCATTCATGATTTCACCAAATGTTAAAGGAAAATGTGAAATATTCAATGAAGAGCAAAGAAGTCCAGTGGCTGCCACTGAAATATTGCAGCCAGTAGACAGAGCCGGGGTCTGAGAGGTCAAAGGGGCGAGAGTTTTAATTTTATGCCATGCCAGATCTTCTTGGAGAAATAAGTGGGGGAGGGGTCCTTTTACCTAGTGCAGCAAGAAGGAGCGCAGTTAGAAGTTAGCAGTTCCCTCAGTTAGGGTGCAGTTTCAGGGTCCAGTGCTCCCACTCCCTTTCCCCTCCTCGACGCTTTCCGCTGAGCAAGGCAAGAGAGAAGTGACTATACAGATGACCAGCCTCTTTGACCTGGGCCAGGCAGATGTGACTTTAAGACACCTGAGAGCTTCCCCAGCACCCACCCTGCACTCGGGGAGTCCTGGGAGACTGTCTAAGGCCCGCGTCCCTGGGGCCACACACGGGGCACAGAGGTTGGGGGAGTGGATACATGTAGACGACAAGACTTCTAGTTTCAGAGGTCACAATCTCCAGCCCTTCGAGTCACTCCTACTCCCTCCTCTGGTTTAATTTTCCTCCTCAATCTTCTAGCAGCAGGAAATTGTTTTAGTTTACAGGCTTAATGTCTGTCTCCCTCATCTTCTGGTGGAAGGGACAACTTCCATCTCCTTTGCCGCTGTGTCCCCAGGAGTTACTCAAAACATCTTGAATGTATGAATCAACCAGCCAATAAATTTATGGGCAACGTTCTGCCCACAAAACCCATGCTAATGAACCTCCAGAACCTGGGTCAAGTCCTCCCGATGAGCTGATGTGGCAGGGAGAGAGGAACTGGAGGGCCGTCTAGAGATGGAGGCAGGGGCCTGGGCTCACTGGCCTGGGCAGGCGACAGGCCTGAGCTCAGGGTTCCCTTCCCACGACACAGAGCCGGTAGGGTGTGCTGGGCCTGCCAGGCTGGAGCCGCCCACGGGCCACCCCACAAGCCGTCTCCATTCCTGCAGATGCTCTGCAAGGTGGCTGGGCCTGTGTCTGGACGAGGAACTGGGCCTCTCGGTGCCTCAGCCTTCTCATTCGGCAAATGGGTTCCCAGGCTCTCCCGCCCCAGGCGGGTGAGGACCCACTCCTCTAGCCTTCTTCCCTCTGCCAACCCAGTAGGCCCTGGACTCACCCAGAAGCAGCAGCTTCAGCTCGCCTCGGTCCCGCCTCTTCTGTTCCAGGAGGATTTTATTGATCTCCTGGTCAATCCGGGCGGCTGCCTTCTCATCCTCCGTCAGGCACCACGGGCAGCAGTGCCAGGTCAGCGACCGGGCCATGATTCTGGGCCTCAGAAGGCACAAGGCAGCATGGCCCCGGCCCCCTGGGGAGGGCACCCCCACCCCCCGGGCTCCAAGGAGGGCTCAAGGCAGCCAAGCGTGAAGGGGTGACCCTTTTCTTGGGGGTCACCCCCCAGAACCCCCGACTTCCTGGCCTCCAACACCCAGCTCAGAGAGGCCCGAGTGCCAGGCACAAGGGCGTTGGGGGAGAAGTAGGAGGAGCAGGAGAGGGGTGCAGAGGCTCAGGGCTCCCCGCCCATCTCCAGACCTGCCCGGCCCGGCCTAACAGGTTGACTGTGGCAGCAAGGAGGAGAGGTGGGTGCCCCTGGGGAGGGTGGGGCAACTCGAGGAAGGGCCCCTCGCCGTCTGGGTCCCGGCAGGGCCCTCCTTCCTCATTCTGGAGAAGGGGTGGACTCCATCCTCCCTGGGCCCCTGACCCCGCCCCTGTCACCAGGCCCGCCCCTGAGAGCCTGCTCTGAGCCAATTAGCAGCCATCCTCAGAACACCGACGAGGAAGGCTGGGCGGCACCTACCGGTTGAAGTCGTTGCCTGTGTGGGCTTGTTTCACGTGCGCCTCGCCTCAGAGTTACTGTTATCTCCTCCCCATGTACAGATGAGTAAACTGAGGCACGGATCATGATGGGACTAGACGGGGCCTGGAGCCATCTCTCACCCATGGGGCTCCAGGGTCTACACACTGACCAGGTAGCTTCGGGATGGCCATTTATTCTTCTGGCGGACATTGATTGAGAGCCCACTGTGTGCCAGGCATTCCAGGCTCTGCCGAAACAAAGTGATGAAATCTCTGACCCCTCTGCCTAGCATTCTAGTCAAGAGAGACAAGTCAGGAAAGATAGTTTTAAAAAAAATACTCGAGCTTGTCGGGTGGCAATACATTCGGAGGGAAAAATAAAGCAGAGAAGGGACTGGGAGATGTTGGGGGCTTGGGCTGTGGCTTTACACAGGGAGTCAAGGAAGGTCACACTGACCCGATGACATTTGGCACCAGGAGGAGATACTGAACAGACAGCCTGGGCACACGGGAACCTTGTGAGTCGAACTGGCTGGTCAAGGCCCCCAGCCTTGACCCCCTGAGCCCTCAGGACCCTCAAAGTAGGACAAGAATGCAGAGGGTGAACGCACGGCTGCTTCCTGACTCTCACAGCCATAGGAGGGGTCTCATTTTTTTCTCCGATCCAGCAGAACTTCACCGTTTCTGGGTGCAGAATCCCCTTTGAGAGGTTCTTGAAATCTCTAGAAAGTTCTGGAACACCACTCCCCCAGAGAGATACATAATTCAGGGGCCTCTGCAACCCTCACAGATGGTACTCTCAAGGCTCAGAGAGGGTGAGTGAGTGCCTGGGGTCACAAAGCAGCAACTGTCACCCACCCCCATCAATCCCCGGCCATCAGCCATCGGGAAGGTGCAGTATTCCTTATTGTTGAATCATAATGAATGGCAGATGAGAAGTGTGATAAGACCCCCCACCCTAGTGAGGTCACTGGGGCAGGCGGGTGCTGCCCTACCCACCCATCCACCCGCCCAGCTGGGTGTCCTGAGGAATTCAGGGTGACTTCCCACTGCCAGGCAGGTGAAGAAAAGCAGAAATCAGTCTGGACCGTGCAGCGTTGGGAGGACAGACAGCACAGAACAGAAATAACCAGCGTGGCAAAACCAGGAGGCCAGGTTGAGTCACAGACTAGAGAGCGGACGGAAGTGCAGAGAGGCCCCGGAACACCAGGGCCATCCTCTCCGGGCATCTCCCTGCTGCGCATTCCAAGATGCACCAAGGTCCCAGTATGTCACAACAGGACCAGGTGTCAGACCCTGGTCTCGCACCTTCTGTGGTTCCCACTGACCTCAAAGAAACAACCCAGCTCCCAGGAACCCCAACAGGTCCGGGCCTCTGAATTTCTCCAGCTTCAAAACAGATCTCCCTTCCAGTTCCCCAAAAGGACAAACTGGCTCCTTTCCACATGTCAGGCGCAAGTGAGGACATTTGTCACATTTTAGTTCATTAGGAAATACCAGGGTGAGCTTGTGTGCATATTTGAAACACACACACACACACACACATACACAGAAAATGCATAAAATATGAATACATAACCTAACCAGTTCTTGTGAACCCAATAGCCATGTGATCCCCAGTCAGGCTAAGACTAAGGACATCATCAACCCCATGAGGGTCCCCAGACACCCTTTCCAACAGCAGTGTCACCACTGCTCTGACTTCTATAGTATTTTTATGTCTGGGGGGTACTTTTTGGCAATAAGATTTATTTCGTTTTTTAGTTTTTAAACGTACGTCGTGCTGTCTTTGTTTTCTTCGGTGTTTGGTTCTGTGAGTTTTAACACATGTAGTCATGTACATTTTCATTGAAAGAGGTAACAGAACACAGTTCCCTCCCACTGAAAAAACTCCCTCCTTTGTAGTGTCAGGTCCTCACCCCACCCCAGCCGCTGGGAACCATTCGTCTGCTCTTTGCTGCTACATTTTTTAAAATCTTTTTGGGCCCTGGCCAGGTGGCTCAGGTGGTTGAAGCATCACCCCCTACACCAAAAGGTTGTGGATCCAGTCCCTGGTCGGGATCATATGGTAGGCAACCGATGGAGGCAACCACTTCATGTTTCTCTCTCTTTCTCCCCCTCCTTACTCTCTCTCTAAAATCAATAAACATATCATTGGGTGAGGATTAGAAAAGATCTTTAATAAATGGAATCATACATGATGTGGCTTTTGGGACTGGTTTCTTTTACTTGGCATTTGAAACTTGTCTGTAGAGTGGGCGCAGGAGGAGCCCGTCCCTTTCGACGGCTGTGTAGTTCTCCACAGTGTGTATGCATCGCTGTTCATCCCCGGACACTTGGGTTGTCTCCCACTTGGGGCCACCATGACTACTGCCGCGATGAACGTACATGTTCAGGTCTCGTATGAACAAGTGGCGTTCATTTCTCTTGGGTAAATTCCTGTAAGTAGGATTGTTAGGTCCTAGCATAATTGTATGTTTAACTTGGCAATAAACTGCTGACACTTTCTGAAACTGGCTGTACCATTTTGCATCCCCACCAGTGATGCCTGAGAGTTCCAGTTTCCTGCATCCTCACCAGCACTTGGTCGAGGTCGTATTTTTTTTTTTATTTTAGCCACTGGTGTTGTATTGTGAATTTAATCTGCATCTCCCCAGTTGAGTAATGATGTTGAATATCTTTTCATGCATTCATGTGCCATCCACATCTTCTTTAGGGGAGTGTCTATTCAAATGTTACTATTTCTTTTAGTAGGCTATTTTTCTGTTATTCTGTTTTGAGAATTCTTTATCTATTCCAGATACAAGTCCTTTACTGGGTATGTGGTTTGCAAATATTCTCTCCCAGTCTGTGGTTTGGCTTTTCATCTGCTCAACTGTGTTTGTTGTGGAGCAAAAGTTTTTAATTTTGATGATATTCAATTTATCCATTTTTTTCCTTTATGGATTATGCTTTTGGTGCTATCTCTAAGAACTCTTTGCCAAACCCAAGGCCACTAAGATGTTTTCTTCTAGGATTTTTATTGTTTTATATTTTACACTTAGATCTGTGATCCATTTTGAGTTAATTTTTATATAGTCAAAGTCCTTCCTTCCGTCCTTCCTTTTGACACGCAGATATCCATTGTTCTAGCGCCCTTTACGGAAGAGACTGTCCTTTCTCCATTGAGTTTTGCCAAAAACCATTTCACTGTATTTGTGTATTTGATGGTTTTGCTTATATCTTCTATATCCTTGCTAATATTCTTTCTGCTCATTCTATTAACTGTGGAGAGGAGTGTTGAAAAACAATTGTAGATTTGTCTATTTTTCCTTTCAGTTCTATTATATTTTGCTTCATATATTTTTGTGAACTCATTTAGGATCATTATGTCCTCTTGGCGAACTGATGCTCTTATATAATACTCCTCTTTATTTCCTTGCTTTTCTTTATAAATTTACAACCAAATTAAGCAACCCTAAAAATCATATTTAATTTCTGCTATTTTTGAACTTGTAAATGGAACTACACAAGATGGATTCTGGTGTGTCTGGTTTCTGTCTTACCTCCTGTTAGGGTTGTGCAATAAGTCCACACTGGTGCATGCGGTTGTAGTTCATTAATTCTCATTATCTTATCAGTATTTTCTATTTATTTGTTAAAATTAGATACAATTCACATATTCATCTATTCATCCATTTTTTTCTTATCAGTATTTTTTATTTTAAAAAATTAGATATAATTGACATATATTAGTTTCAGGTATACAACACAATATTCAATGTTTATATATACTGTGAAATGATCACCAAAGTAAGTCTAGTTAACATCCATAACTACACGGTTCCAATTTTTTTTCTTGTGATGAGAAATTTTAAGATCTACTCTCTTTGCAACTTTCAGATGTGCAATACAGTCACCAAGCTGTACTCGTCATCCATTCTGCTGTTGAGGGGCACATGGCTAACTTTTACTTTGCAGCTGAAATGAGCAGGGCAGCTATGAACATTTGGTCCATTCCTTTTGGTGACCATATGTGACATTCTGTGGAAAAATACCCAATTGTGGAACTGCTGGGTTATAAGGTATTTGCCAGATATTAGCTATCTTGCCAAAGTACACACACTGATTCACACCCCCACTAACTCTGGGGAGTTTTTATAGAGCTAAATTTATTCCATCAGATTCTCCTTTGTTCAGAAAAGATGCAGTCCTTGCAGCATCTCTGTTATTAAAAATGTCCCTTTTGTTTAATGAATAGGATACAGTTTTTTCCAAGTGTCTCCCACCCCTCAGCTGATGGGACTCTTTGCCACTGAGGCAAAGAGCCACAGCTGCATCCTTCCCTGAACGCTGCCCTTGGCCACTCCCAAGGCCATGCCTCCCATCTAAGGGTGACCCAAGGCTGGGGTGCAAAGGTCCATCCCCTTCTTTTTATTGACTGATGAGTAATTTATTTGGATAAGACAAAAAAGTCTCCATCCTCTGGGTATATAACCAAAAGAATAGAAAGTAGGGACTCAGACAGGTACTTGTACACCCATGACCACAGTGCCATTATTCACAGTAGCCAAAAGGTGGAAGCTAACTGTCTATCTCTGGCCAGAGGGCCAGGTTCCTGAAAGTAGGACCCTGGCTTGAAAGGTTTTTGGTTTTGAAATTCTCCTAATTTTGAAACAAGGTTTTATTTTTGCCCCAACTCCACCTGGCTGGCCCAGTCACGGCTGACACCAAGACCCAGGAAGCGCTGGCCTACTGTCAGGGCAAGGGGCTGACTTCTCGCTACATGTTTCCCATGTGGAACCGGAGTGACGACAGGACCTCCTCTGGATGGATGCCTGGTAGAGCCAGTAGGTGGGTGGGACAGCAAGAGAGCAGCCTCAGTTGGACACAGAGGACATAAACTCTAGGTGACGTCCATGTGGACTGGCAGCCTCAACTAGCGTCCCTTCCCAAACCCACCTCCTGAACCTAGCTTGTCTCCTGAGACTTCACTTAGTCCAGCCTCCATCCTCTTCCACATGGAACAGCTCAGTCCCCCTCAACCTGGTCCCAAGTTCCCACCCTTGTCCCCCAGCCTGACCTCCCCACGTCAACCACCAGAGGGCACCTGTGAGCAACAGAGTCAGGCCCTGCATCTCCCTTCCCATCTGTCCTCCCCACAGCAGCCGCCAGAGAGCTCCTGTAAGGACCCAAGTTGGGTCTTGTCCTTCCTCTGCCCACAGCCCTCCAGGCACCTACCTCATTCAGAAAAAAAACCCCAAGTCCTCTCCGTGACCCACGAGGCCCTGCACGACCTGCCCCTGTCCTCACCTCCTCCCTCTCCCCCCTTCATTCATTCTGTTCCAACCACGCGGGGCTCCTTGCCGTTCCTTCAACACACCAGGCACAGTCCTGCCTTGTGGCCGTTGCATGGGCTGTTTCCTCTGCCTGGAAAGCTCTTCCTTCAGGTCACAGTATGGATTCTTCCCTGTATGCCATCCAGGATCCTACTTGTATGCCACTTCCTCAGAAGGGCCTTTTCTGAAAAGCCAGTCTGAAGTGGCCACTATCGCTCATCCCACTTCCCTGCTCTGCTTTTTCTTCAAAGACTAAGTCATGGTGACAAATACTGTTCTCCCCAACTCCCACTGTATCTGCAGCGCCTAGGACAGTGCCTGGCACAGAGGGAGCCTTCGAGACATGTCTTGTTGATGCAGGAGGAGGGATGGGGAGAAGTTGTAATTCTTGTACATGGCTGGTGGGATGTGAAGCAGGGCAGTCACTGAGGAAAAAGGATAGCAGTCCTTCCAACTCACATAGAGTTTCCATACAACCCAGAAATTCCACTTCTGAGCATTTATCCAATAAAATTAAAAGCAGGAACTCAGAGTTTTGTACGCCTGTGTTCACAGCAGCATTATCCATAATGGCCAAGAGCTGGACAGAACCCAAGTGCCCATGCCCGGATGAATGGTCAGTGTGGTCCATCCAGACAAGGGAATACTATTCAGCCTTAAAAAGGAAGGACATTCTGTCACCCGCTACGACATGGATTAACCTTGAGGACAGTACGCTGAATGAAATAAGCTACGCACAGGCAAATACTATGTAATTCCAATCATACAAGGTCTCTAGAGGAAATCAGATTCACAGACAGAAAGTAAATGGTAGATGCCAGGGGATTAGTGTTTAATGGAGGCAGAGTTCCAGTTTGGGAAGATGAGAAAGTTCTGGAGATGAACTAGACAAGAATGGTAAAGCCACAATATGAATATACCTAATGCCACTGCACTCTGCACTCAGAAATGGTTAAGATGGTCAATTTTATGTCTGTCTAAATAGACAAGTGTTATATCTATTTCCCATGATTAAAACTTATTAGGAAAAAAAAATAACAGAAAAGAGACAACAGAGAGCCTGCTGTCCAACAACTTCAGTTTACAGAAAGGTGACGGGCTTTGACTTCCCAGCATCTCCAACTGTGGCGTGTTGGCCCCCGTCCCTAAAAAGGAAGTGCCTCTCTTGCAGGATGCTCCAGCGCTTAAGACAAGTGAACCTGAAGTCAAGAGCCAAGTCAGAGGACATCAGAGCAGGAGCCCTGATGCCCCGATCCCAGCCCAGGGTGGGACACCTCCCTGAGGAAGCTGCAGCTATGGCTCCTGTGAGCTCAGACCCCAGCCTGAAAGTGCCAGGACCCAGGTTACTCATGGGGCCCCAGGCAACACCCCGGGGGCCCTCAGGGCCCCTCCGCTGCCCGCCACCATCCCTGTGGCCAGCAACAGGAAATAAGCCAGAGGGGCCACAGCGTTTAGGAACGAGATTTATTCCAATTTAAAACAATTCATTTCAGGAGAAAGATATGAAAAGTCAATTTCCATCAGTTATCTCTGGATTAAGGGGTCAGGGCCCCGGCACACTGAGCAGAGCCTGCTGGCCCACCCATCTGGACGGGACAGCCTTTGTCTGCCACAGGTTGGCATCGAGCTAATCATGCCCATCCCCCAGCACGCGCAACAATACATGCATTTCAAATGACAAAAGGTTTAAAAACAGCATTTTTATATAATATTCTTTTTTAAATAGGTTAAAGTTTAAATCGTCTGAAATCAGGACTGTAATATACAAGTATCACCAGACAGTGTTCACCCCACTGGCCGCAAGTTCCCGCACTGCCACTAGGGGGCATTGGCACTAGGACATCTCTCTCAGGGAGGCGGGTGCAGGGGGCATTAGCTGTACTGTGATCTGACACAGCGGGAGGAGCCGGGAGGTTGGCACGAGAGAGAGCATTAGGAGTTCATCAGGGTAAAAATCAAAGACATCATCCAACCTGGCATGGGACCCGAGAGGGACCGAGACCTCCCGTCCTGGCTGGCATTGACACTGGCACAAAACTGGTCTTAGATTCCCCTGGGACACAGGGTGGCCCTGCCCTCAGCTCCTGGGGGTGGGGTCAGGCCCATGGGGCTTCAGAAGGCCCGGGCGGGGGTGGTTTGGCGCTCCAGCCAACCTTGGGCTGTGGGATGCTTGGCACACTACCCCCTCTCCAAGAGCAGTACACTCTTTGGGTGCTCCCCCACATGCTCACGCCACCCCTCGAGAGCCCAATCCAGTTCCTTTCTGTGATATGGACCTTTCAGAGGCCCAATGCCAGCAGCACCACCTGCTTCCCCCCGGACTGAGGGCAAGAATGGGGGATTATGTTCAACCCTCTCAAATAGATACATGGCACAAAAAAGGACCCTTTTTGGAAAATTGGCCGAGAAGCTGGGGATCCCTGGCCCATTCTGCCCCCAGATGGAGCTCATCACCAGGAATGTAGCCACCCCCAATTTCTGCCTGTCTTCTGCTCCCCATCGCCCTGGGACCGTCCCGGCTTTGTCCTGGGACTGGGAGAGGGAAAGTGGGGGCCAGCAGCCCAGGACTGGCTGTCTGGGTGGGTTGGATTTTTGCATTGTTTCTTTTCTATTTGTTAATGGTGCCAAAAAGGTGCAGCCCCAGAGGCTGCTTCTATAGGGTCCAGGTGTAGTGGGCAGGGCCAGACATTGCTGGTGGTCCCTTTCCCTTCCATTTGTGCAAAAAACAAACACTGTAGTGTTCAGTCTACATCACAGGAAAAGCTGCCTCCCTCCCTCCCCACAAAAGACCAGCCCCCTGCTTGTACCCTCCCTCCGAGTTCCTCTATGGGGTCCCCAGGCCAGGCAGCCCGTGGCTCTGGCTCAGTGCATGGCCATGGCCTGGAGGTGGCCCCGAGACCAAGGTGCCAGCTGCTGGCTCCCATGCAACCCTCGACAGCTCTGGGCAAGGTGCCCCTGCTGTCGACTCAGTTCCCAGCAGCTCGGGGCACAGGGGTCAGCAAGTGTGTGCGGCAGAGGCCACCATGCCTGAGATCCACTGCAGGACTCTCCCTCAACTTCTCCCTGCCTCGTGGGGACAGACCTGAGAATGTTCTGAAAAAGTCCCCAGCCCACCATCATCACTGTTTCCTAAAGGACTACAAAATGGAATGAAAGCAAAAGTGACTCCCATCTGAGTAGGCCCTCTCCCAGGCCTCCCGAGGGCTCTCCAGCCTGGGAGGTGAGCACATGACCCTCAGGGGCACAGGAACCAGGCCAGGGAGAGCTCTGAGCAGACCAGATTGCCCTGGAGACACTACCCAGAGAATCCCCCAATCCCCCAGGGCTCTCAGAGGGCGGTGGGGACCAGGCAGCCACCTGAGGCTGAGTGAGGGTCAGGAGGCATCTCCTTCATTGCAGAGGAGCCCATATACTTTTTGTTTTCCCTTAAAAAAAAAATGGTTAGGCACTTCCCAGGGTGGGCAACAGGGGACGCCACCCACCCCCACTTCTTGGAGTCCAGTGAGCAAGAACACAGCAAAGTTGTGAGGATGGTAATAACTTAAAAAAAAAGGAAGGAAGAGCAGTCAGTCACAGTCTCCACATCTCCACGCCAAGGGGCCAGGGCCAGCTGGGGGCGGCTCCGTCCCACGGTGGCCCGAAGGTGCAGCCCTGGTTGGGGTGAGGGAACTGAGGGAGGAGGCCTGGAGGCGCTGGGGACAGGGCACTCGCGTATCTCATCTCTGCTTGTCTCATTTTTCTTTTTTTTTGTCTTTTTTCCATTTTTTTTCTAGAAAAAAGGCGAGCCACAGTCAAGGCCAGAAAAAGGCAGCCTGTGCTGCTGACAAAAGGTGAGAAGGTGCACGAAGGATATAGAAAGAAAGATGTACATCCCCTGATAACTGTGAAATAAAAACCATTTGTTAAAAATATGAAAAAAAACAAAAACAAAAAAAAAACCCCAGCTCCTCGGCGGGCAGAGCCGCTATCACATCATCACACAGGAGGGTCTGTCCCGTGGGCTCGCCACACGGTCACACCAGGTTGTACTCCTTCAGGTTGAGCTGCAGGATGGTGTCCTTGACGGCCGCAAAGACAAAGCGGATGTTCTCCGTGTCAGTGGCACAAGTGAAGTGCGAGTAGATGATCTTGTCACTGTCGGGGTTCAGGTCCACAAACATCTTCAGGATGAACTCCCGGGCGGCCTGAGCGTCCCGCTGCGGCCCTAAGGGAGGTGAGGCAGGTGAGTCAGGCCTGCCGTGCGAGGGATGGGCACTGGGATGCCAGCCACAGGGGACAGCATATGCCATGGCCTCTTGGGCCAAGATGTGGCTTCAGGGAGGCAGCTGTGTGTGTGTGGCCGTGCATGGGGGTCTGCACAGGCCCTTGCCCATCTCCACCTGCTCGGCCCTTGGCCTCCCAGCCAGCACCACCGCTGCTGTGCACGCCAAACGCTCCCCTCTCCTCCAAACTGGCGTCAACCTTCCTTCCCAGTCTCACTTCACTCCATTTACACCACACCACAAATACACACCCACATCCAAACATGGACATGTATCCACACACGTGCACACCTGTGCCCAGGCCTATATGTGCACACACACCTGTGCACAAAGAGCTGCCACCCCAGCCACTACTCCACGTGGCCGTGCTGGCTGTCCACCCAGCTGTCCACGCCCTTGCCCAGAGGCTCCTGCCCATGATGTCCATCCTTCCCAGGCCATGGTCTGCACTCACCCTGAAGTCCTGGTCCCATGATTTCCTCACTGTTCCCTCCCAGCAAACCTCCTGCTCCCCCTCAGCCAGAGGAAATCCCTGTCTGCCCTGCCCAACATCTACTCCACCCCCAACCCAAGGGGCCCAGAGGGCTCAGCTCAGAGCCCACCCCCCTAACCCCTGCCAGGCCTCACCCGGGTCTACAGAGCAAGAGCCAATGGCCCAGATCACGAGGCTCCCAGCATGGGTGCCACCACCTGCCTTAGATAAAGGGCATGACCGAGGGCGCTGGGGTACAGACAGCTTCAGCTCACGCACAACAGAGTGGGGCGCTGAAATGCGGGTGGGATGGTCCACACGAGCTGTCTGCCTTCCATTAGGAGCTCAGCTGATCCAGGGAGGTGTTGGGACAGTGGTCCTAAGTCATTCTTTATTCCCAGCACCATGCTCTTCCTTATGGCCAGGCCACTGAACGGGGGACTGGGAACCAGGCATTCCAGCGCGTCCCTCCTATTGCTGTGCACTGACTGCAGGGTGTCCCCCTCCCGTGGACGATGCTCCCCGTGGAGACACAAGGCTCTTATGCCCATCAAATGCTGGGAAGATCCTGGAGGAAGCACTGAGAACACAGCACCGAGGCCCAGGAAGTTCTGGCCGGCCATGACCACGCACAGGCCCGAGGGAACCACCTCCCTGGCTGTCGGATGAGAACACCACGGCCCTAAGAGGGAAAGGGGATGTGCTGGAGGCACCCAGCTCGCCACCCCAGTAGACCTGGTGAGGTTCAGGGTCTCCAGAATATCTCCCATTCTGCGGGGACCATGCAGGAAGCACAAGGCACACTGGGGCGAGGACACTCTAGAGCTCACCATCAAACTCGGGAAAGTAGTCCACCAGGTGGGAGTACAGGATCTTGTCCTCCAGCAGGTCCTTTTTGTTGAGGAAGAGGATGACCGACGAGTTCTGGAACCAGGGGTAGGTGATGATGGTCCGGAACAGGGCTTTGCTTTCCTCCATGCGGTTCTGCAGATGAAAGGCTCCAGGATTGACAAGGCCCTGCCCCCAGAAGGGCAGGGGGCTGCAGGGCAAGCCCTCACCCCTGCCCAGGGCCTCCCTCCTCCCGGCAGGCCGAGCACTGGGAGAGGTGCCTCACCTCGTTGTCCGACTCCACCAGGACTTGGTCATATTCACTAAGGGCCACAAGGAACATGATGGACGTCACATTCTCAAAGCAGTGGATCCACTTTCTCCGCTCAGACCTCTGTCCTCCCACATCCACCATCCTGCAGGGACGGGAATGCCACAGGGGCTCAGTGCGGGGCTCGATAGACAGTACCACTACCACTACTGCTGGCAAGCCCCGCCCCGCCAGCGTGGCCATGTCTGCTAGAGCCTTGAGGGCCCCTCATACCTGCTAAAGCCAGGGGGCTCCTCAATACCCATCAAAGCCCCAAGAGCCTACCAATACCCCTTAGAACCACGAGGGCCCCTCAATACCTGTCAGATCCCCAACAGCCCCCCAATACCAATTAGAGCCCAGAGTATCCCCAATATGTGTCACAGCCTTGAGGACCTCCATCCCGTATCTGGGAATGAGGAGAACACAGCACGGGCCTGATACCCGGTCTCTGACAGCGACCAATGCCTGCCCTGACAGGAGCCCACACATGGCGATGCGAGGTGTGGACCCAGTGGGACCCGCAGTAGGCCCACCCTCCAGCACCACATCCCGCCCTCGTGAGGAAATCCGCTCCCCTCCTTGGTCATCATGCAGCACCATCCGTAAAACCCAGTCTCGACCTTCCCCCACAGGGAGGCCCAGGTCGACGGAGGGGCATTCAGCTGACAGACATGCCATCAGTCACTGCAAGGAAATGGACAAACAGCTACACAGAGCGAAGCTGGGTGTCCTGTCACTGGGTGAACATAGCAGGCTGCGAAGTTCCCTATCCAACGTGAGAAGCAGGTAAGAAACAATGAGTCTAGAAACAAAGGGGGGGAACTGGGGACAGCACCTGAGAGACAGGGTTAGTTACAGGGGCTTTCTCCTTTCTGCCTATGAATTCTCTAGGTTTTCAATAATGAGGAAAGAGATCCTATTTTTAAAAAGGAAGACAGGGCTTAAGGGAGAGCAGCCCTCAAGCCCCCCATACTGAGCTGGAGAAGGCGGAGAGCCCCACAACTGCCCCCCATACACACTGCTGTGAGGATGGCACGGCTCTGGCAGCAGGGGCCCCGGGGCGGGGCTGAGACTCGGGCTGCCCTGCCAAGGCCCACAGAGGCGAATCCACCTGGCAGGGATTTCTCAGAGGAGACTCCAGCAAGCACAGGTGGATGGAGGACGTGCCAGGGTGACTGTGAAGGGACATGAGAGTGGTGACAGACCAAGAGCCCTGCGATCGGATGCCAGGCACACGCTGGCAGCTGCAGCCAGTCTGGGAATGCCATCAGGGACAAGGGTGTTTGGGGCCACAACCATTCTGGAGCAAGAGCCTTCCCGGGAGAGCCAGGCTGAAACCTGGGCCCCTGGGGCCAGATCTCCACACAAGGTAACCCCTCTGGGACCAGGCTCATCTCACACACTGGATCAACGAGGCCATCATTCAGTGACATCTAAGCTCCGATTAAGACCAGGCCACGAGCTCGGCGCCAGGGCCCCGGCCTATCTTCTGTGATCACTCAACCAGACCAGCGCAAAGCTGGATGAGGGCACAGCGGGACCAGAGCTGTATGTACAGCTACACAAAGGGCACAGCTAGATGAGATGCAGCTGGACAAGAGGGGACACAACTGGACAAGGGGCCTTCAGGACCCCTCAACTGCCCACAGCATCCCTGCTCTGGGAGAACTCTAGACCACCCACTGCTCCTGCAGCCCAGGTCAGCGCCCTCCCTCACCCACAGCCCCATCGTGGAGACCCCACCAGAAGGCCATCTTCCCCAGGCCACCTCTGGACAGCCCTCAACAGTCACTGGGGCCTGGCTCACTCTGACACTTAGGGACAGTTACTTATTCATAAATCTTTTCTCCCATCCTGGATCAGAAGCTCCCTGAGGGCAAAGACTAGGATCCAATGCATCTTTTGCTGCTCCCACAATCTAGGAATGGATTCTAGGAACAAACAGCCCTCAGAGCAGCCCGCAGCCCCAGGCCACCCCAGGCCACCGTCACCCTCGGGAAGCCACAGGACACAGGCACCTGAAGATGATGTTCTCCAAGTCGAAAGGGTATTCGATGATGCCAGTGGTGGGCACACGGACCCGAAGCACGTCCTGCTGTGTGGGCAGGTAGCCCGAGGTGGCGATGCGGTCCACATCAGTCAGGTAGCTGCAAGGGAGCAGGGACAGGGCTACTCAGGCCAGGCTGCGAGGGAAGAGGACATCCCAGCCACCACTGGTCCTCCAAGCAGCAGGGAGGGGGCCTGCAAGGGTCTCACCAGCAGGCACTGAAGCAGCCAGGAATATTCGGGACAAAATGGGACAAGGCCTCCCCATCCCTGACCTGGACAGGAAGGAGCAGGTCATTTGCTGGGTCTCATGGGACAGAAATGAAGCTGACCAGGGAAAGACTCAGGAGGGGCTCTCCAATCACAGCTGCCCCGGGACAGCCACTCTAGAAGGAGAAAGGGGACCAGCACTGGGGTTTCCATGAGAGGCTGCTGGGCTGGAGGGGTGACTTTTCAGAAATGAACTTGCCATTTTAAGATTATTTCAGATCCACAGAAAAGTTTTAGAGATTCAACAGAAACCTCCAGCACACACCCGCTTTCCCCACCATGAACATCTGTTAGTCTAGCTCATCTGCCACAACTAACTAGTCAGTATTCACAGTGTCATTAACTGAGTCCGCCTTTTTTCCAGGTTGCCTTGATTTCCCTAACATCCTCTCTCTGTCCCAGGCCCCTGACCAGGACCCACGTGACTGTCGTGACTGTCAACCCCTGCCCCAGCAGGGAAGGTGGGCAACGCCCCACTCACTATTTGGCGGAGTCAGAGAGCTGGTACTCCCGCCTCCGGTCATAGCACTCCTGGATGCCGGGGTCATTCCATAGGGTCTTGATGGCATTGACGTACCGGTGCTCAAATGTCGTCACCTTTTCCACATCCACTTCCCGGATCAGGAGTGCATTGGCCTGTGAGGGCAGGAGGGAGAAAGGCAATGGGCTCTCCATGAGCCTGGACACACAGGGAGCGCCCCTTGTTCCCGGACATGGCTGGATCCTCAGTACCCAGCTGACCAGTCAGAATGAGCAACTCCAGTTTTGTGTGAATATAAGAAAGAAACAAGAATGATCAGCCGCGACTGTCCTTTAGTGCTAGGTCCTAAAGCAACCCTGAGATGGAGACTGAGGCATCTCGGAGCAGGGCCTGCCAGGCACCATATCCCTGTGTGTTGGAGGCACTTTTGCAGATGAGGGAGATGGGTGCTGGTAAAGCTGTGTTTGCGGGAACAGGCTACAGTTTGCCCTACTCTGTCCTAGATGCTGATGGTCATCTATGGCCCAAATGTGAACTGACTCTGAGCTCAGCCTCAGCTGGAAGAGATTCTACAAACCAGGACCCAGTGGGCCAGATGCTCAAGGTGGCCCCACACATGTGGCCCCACAGCCAGGACGGTAGGACTGGCAGGCATCCCTGAAAACCTGTGATTTGGGGTAAAGGTAAGAACACACCAGAGACGTATCAGAAATCTGACTGGCCTTCTTAAACCTAAAAGTAAAGGGACTGATTTAAGCCCTATTTGGACAGATATGGACTCCATGCCATGCATTGGCCCAGGGAAAACTTCCGGGTGTGTGAAAAGCCCCCCAAAACAGATCTACAAAAGAAAAGCTCAGGGAGGTCACCAGAGAGAGCCATGATGAGTGTACTGCTGCTGGAGCAGCCACAGAGGAGAGTGGACTGTCACTAGGTACACACGTAGAATGAGAAAAGGTGTGCAAACAAAAACTTGTCCATGACTCCGGCCAGTGTGGCTCAGTTGGTTAGGGAGTCATCCCCTAAACCAAAAGGTTGTGAATGCCAGCTCAGGGCACGTGCCTATGTTACGGGTTCAGTCTCCTGTCAGGGCACATACGAGCAGCAACCAAGTGATGTTTTGTCCTCATATCAATGTTTCCCTCCCTGTCTCTTACTCCCTTCCCCCTCTCTAAAATTAATGGACATGTCCTCAGGTGAGGATAAACAACCACCACCTGTTCACGAATGTCACAGTACCAGGTTTCACAAAGGCCAAAAAGTGGGGGCAATAAATGTCTATTGATGGGTGAATGTCATTCATCCCTGCACTGGAATATTACACAGCCATGAAAAGGAATGAAGCACTGACACTCGCTACAATGTGGGTGGACGTTGAACACATGACCCTCAGTGAGAGAAGCCACACACAAAAGGCCACAGTGTGTGATTCCATTTATGTGAAATGTCCAGGACAGGCGCATCCACAGAGATGGGAAGTGGGTTCATGGTTGCCAGGGGCTGGGGAGGAAGATGGGGAGAGGCTGCTAATGGGGACAGGGTATCTTTTTGAGGAGATGGAAATGTTCTAGAATTGAATGAAGATGACACTGCATGACTGTGACTATGTTAAAACTGGATTGCACACTTTAAAAGATAACATGTATGGTATGTGAATTCCATCCCAACAGACCTATTATTAAAACAAACAAACAAACAAACAAACAAAACAGAGGGAAGTGCCACCTCCATGGGGTCACCAAGAGGGTCAGACATGGTGTGTGAAGAGCCTGGTAGGACAGGAGTCCTCTGAGGGGCCAGGAACCAAAAGTTCGCAGAGCCCACCCCAGGGCAACTCACCCACTGACCAGGTTCCAGTCCATCGAACGGGGCGCCAACAGCTACCTGATAGGGGAGCCTGAGGTCCACCAGGATGTGCAGGCCTAGCATCAGCCCCCACTGCCCCCTACAGCCTATGCGTTGCTTAGGTGGTGCCTCCCACCAGTTGAAAGCCTCACCTTGTTCTGCTCATACTTGTACAGAATCTTCAGAGTCTCCATCGCCCGGATCATGGCCTGCATGGCAGTAAAGATGTTCTGGTAGACCAATTTGGTGAAGCCCCGCTTGTCCTCCTCCGAGTAGCCAGCCCCGTGGATAATGCGCATCTGCTTGATGAACGTGCTCTTCCCACTCTCACCCGTGCCTGCAACATGCAACACGGCCCAGTGAGATAGCAGAGGGGCCAAGACCCACATGCTAACAGCTCGCACGCTCACCATGTCCCCGCCACGTCTCCACCCAGCATGCCAGGAGATGAGCCTCTGGGACACATGCTCCTGGCCACAAGTGGCTCACTGGCCCTCAGATGGGGCATGGGACACACTTAACAGGCAACCACTCCTTGAAGCACATCCCTAAGATTTACCTCAGTCATCCTCCCACCTGCACCCAGCCTACACAAGGGGAAACTGAGGCTCAAAAAAGGGAAGGATGGCTCTGACTGGTGTGGCTCAGTGGAGTGAGTGCCATCCCACAAAGCAAAAGGCTGCCAGTTCAATTCCCAACTAGGGCACATGCTGGGGTTGCAAGCCAGGTCTGGTTGGAGGCATGTGAGAAGCAACCATCTATGTTTATCTCCTTCTCTTCTCTCAAAAAGTAAATACTGCATTTTGCCGTGTATAATGTACACCCACATTTTTGGCCAAAACTTTCAGGAAAAAAAACTTTTAATTTTTTAATTCAATTTTTATTTATTTATATTTAGATGCTTTTCTTGTATTATTAAGGAATTTTAGCCTTTATTTTTGAACATGTTATGGTGTAAGAAATTTTATGTAACAAATCATTACAAAACACAAGAACAGATACACAGTATTTCAGGTACTACCCAGGTATAATGTGCATCCTTATTTTTCCCTCAAAAAGTGGGCCAAAAAGTGCACATTATACACAGCAAAATATAGGTAAATAAAATCTTTAAAAAAAGAAAAAAGAAAAAGGAAGGATAACATCTTCAGGATGTTTAGCACCTAGGCATACAACAGGCAGGTCCGTCCCCTAAAGTGTCCTGCTGGGTCACAGTGACAGAAGGTAAGTGGCCACCACACTGAGTATGACTCTGTGCAGAATTTAACACGGCTGCGGATGAGGACATGAAGGCCCACAGAAGTTACATGTGTCTCCACCAGATGCCGCCACCTCCCTACCTAGTCAGGGTGACTAGCACCTTCTCCCTTGGAGTTCACGCAGCCCCTTCCCAAGCCTGTCCTGGATCCCAGTCTAATCTGACAATGCCTGTCGACAAGCCCTGCCCTTCCTCCCCCGCCACCCCATCCGAAACAGTTTCCTTTAAGGTAGAAGTTCGGACTGTGCATCTACAGCCATGGCACTGAGGGCCAAATCAAGTCACAGGGCCCAAGGACCCCAGAAACTCCTTTCTTATTAGCTCCAAACTTGTAACCTTACCCAACAACAAGACATCCCAGGGTGCTCCCCAGCTCTATCCTGTGTGACCACAGCACTGTGCCCCATGTCCACCCAGAGCGGGTAACCCCGCTGCCCTCCCACCACCACGGCCAGCCTCTTATCTCTGTCCCGCCGTGCTGGCTGGCGCATCACTGAACCCCTTTGTGTCTCATTTCTTCCTCAATAAGCATGAGGGGAAACGGCCATCTTACCGAGCTCTTCTAGGGCGAGCATGCTGACCCTCCTTCCCACCTCAGAGAAGGCTGCGTTTGAGGTTCTCCTGCCTCGCAAGATCAAAAATTCAGAAAAAAACATCGGAGAAGGGGCTCTCAGCCAGCTGTGTCCTCCCCGGGGCCTGGAGATGAGGCCCTCGTCTCAGTGCGTGCCGCTCAACAGGAGACCTCCGCGCCTCCGCCCCGCCCCAGCCCCACTCCAGCACCATTCAGCCCCGGCCCTCTCCTGCATCAGCCTCCCACCGCCCTGGTCTCCCCACTGTTGTGTACCCACACACACACAGACAGCAACTGCAGTGGTTTTAATGTGTCCACAAATCTCTGAGGAGCGGAGGCCTCCCCCCAACAGCCACGTGAGGAGGCCATTATGGAAGGGGCTCCCCCAGACCCCATGGAGCCTTCGAGTGAGGCAGCCCAGGCAGCAGCTTGACTGCAGCCTCATGAGAGACTCGGCCAGAACCGCTCAGGTTCCTGACCCTCAGAATCTTCAGCTACTAAGTTTTGGAGTGAATTACACAGCAAGAGAGAATGTCTAAACTCTTAAGAAAGCACTGCCTCAGACCCTACTCAATAACATGACAGAGGTCCCCTCTCACGGACTGAATCCCCTCCTCCCTTTTGGGGACTCAGAACATCCCAAAGTTACCTGAACCCACCCCTCTAGGCTCACCTTCAGCGCCCTCTGCGAGCCGCCCTGCATCTGCCCACCTCCACTCGGCTGCCTGAGCTGCGCCTCTGTCCATGGTGCCATCTGCTCACAGCCGCCTGTGACCGGCCTTCACCCCAGGAAGCCCGGTGCCCCAGGCAGGCTGCTCCCTGCCCTGGACACTGGGAGCCGTTAGCACCACCGGTGCGGGGAGTCTCTCTGCAGGGGTCTGTCACCAACCTCTGTGACTAGAAGCTCCTGGAGAAGAGACCAATTCCATGGGCCCCACAGTGACCACACTGCCCTGCAGGCAGGAGGCCCTCAACCAGCACCTGAGTGACTGACCACAGGTGCCTGAACTCACTAGGGGAGACCCGAGTCTCACAGGAGACATATCGCAGAGCAGGGACCTTGGCCGTAATTGCCTCTTTCTGGTACTTTTATCAAGTACCTCAGATCCTTTCTGGAATAAATATGGTTTGGGTTCTATCATCAAGTGGTAATTACCCCCACCATCCTACCTCAGACAATCACCTCGGCCACAAAATGTACAAGAGGCAATATACCCACTTGCTCCAAAGCCACCTGAGTTCCAGGGGCAGGAAAGGGTAGAGGGTCCATGCACGTGGCCCCATGTCTCCCCAGAGGGATCCACACGGCCCCTTCCTCACAACACACTGCAGGAATGTGATTTCTAGTGCATTTTCCTCTTGACCAGGTCTCCCCACCCCCGGTACTGCTGACAGGTCATTCTGGGGGCGGGGGGCTGTCCTGGGCACTCTGGGGTGTTAAGCAGCATCCCTGGCCCCCACCCACTCAATGCCAGGAGCACCCCCCGTCCTGATAACCACAGATGACCCCAGATACCATCCAGTGTCCCACAGGGACAGGATCAGCCCCATTTTTTACAAAATGCTATTACACAAAGGTAACTGCCCTGCTAATCTATCTCGAAGGGTCTCTCACTGGAAACAGGCAAACAGGTACAAGAATTAAGGACAAACACACAGATGCAGCCAAGCCAGGCATGTCCCACCTCCAGTCCACAAGACCCCTTGAGCTGCCAACGCCTAACTACAGAGAAGGAAGGGCAGCCTCGGCTTCCGTGTGAGGACGCGGGGAAGACGCGTGAAGAGTCCTCCAGATCACTGCCCAAAGAGAAAGGAACGGCCTCACACCAGCTTTTTTAAAATGGGGTAAAAATGATTATGAGAGCCCCCCACGGAGCTCTCCAGAGGCAGTGCAGGCACACTGAGGGGTGCGTGCGTCGCACATCCCCCCCTCCATACCCATACACACATGTGTACACATGCATGCAGCCCACGTGAATCAGGATGAGATGCTGCGTGCGCCCCAGGACAGGGCAGAGAGTGCAGGGGCGTGTCTGTGGAGGGGTCCTGAACCACTACTTCATGATTGATGAGACGCTGCCAGCCCCTGGATATGTCGGGGGTCCCGGAGGAGGCAAGTGGCCAAGGTCACGCAGGTCCCTCCAAGCCCTGAAGCCATCCCGTCTGCAAGACCCCCGACACTGCAAAGACAGCAGCCATGATCAACCTCCAGAGGAGCTGAGGGGCACAAAAGACAGCTGAAGCACATGGGACGGTAGGGGTGTTCATTAATCTAATTGTGACAATCATTTTACAGTACATGCCTGCATCAAATCGTCTTATTGTACACCTTAAACTTACACATTACATTTCAATTGTGTCTCGATAAAGCTGAAGGGAAAAGCAAAAGGGACACCCCAGGGACAATGTGACCTGGGACCTGGAATGGGCAGCCACTACTTTTCGAGGAAGGTCAGAGAAAGGAGGGTATGGAGGTGGCAGCTACAGAGAGGGGCGGTCTACTGAAGAGGGCACCACTGCCACGCGTCATGTGCCTTCTGGGCCAGCAGAGACTGGGCGAGGGGAGGCCAGTGCCAGCTCTGAGCATGAACCTCCAAGCCAGGAGCAGTGGTGTGGGAGGGAGGAGCCAGCCTGGTCCTCTGTCCTGCAACAGGACAGGCCCAGCTGGCCTGAGAGGTGCTCAGCCACCACTATGTCCAGAGGGCAGGGAGGGACAGGCTCTGAGCCATATACACAGTGCCGGCCAAAGTAACCTGTTTCAGACGCTCTGGCTGTGGTCTTTGTGTTGAGCTGGCTGCTCCATTTCCTGGTCAATTCAGCCGCTGCCACATCTTGTCAGCACATGTCACCTGTGACTGAATCTCTGGTCCTAGGAATCCTCATGCACCTGACCCAATGCCCACCTGCCCAGAGAAGTCTCTGGGTGCGAAGCCTGCCTGGACCTCAGGGCCACTCACCCAGTCCACTGCAGACTCTCCAGGGCCCTGGTCAGCTAGCAGCGCGCCCCTGGCCTCCAACAGGCTCTGCCTGGTCCTCGGTCACGCTCCCCTTAGGAGAGCTTGTCACACACACTCTCCCACAGGTGCCTCCCCATTGGAGAAAAGCAATCCCCTTCCTCAAGCAAAAATCTGCAAGACACCCATGATCGGGTTTCATTCTGTCCACGTGTACTGGTCCACAGCACCCACTGCCCCCCAACCATTCAGAGAGCAGCTGCTCTGAACCCACACTCGGCATTCCAAGTAGCTTTATTTATAATGGCCAAAAAACAGCACCAGCCCCATGTCCTTCACCAGGCGGAGAGTCACAAACTGTAGCCCACCCACACCATGGACACTACTCAGTGATGACGAGGAAGCCCCGTGGACACACCCAATGGCTGACAGGCTCCATGGAATTGTGCCAAGTGGGAAAAACTGAACCCCAGGAGGCTCTATGCCTTCTGATCCTGTTTACAGAACATTTCTGAGATGATACAACTGTAGAGATGGAGGATGGATGGTGGTTG